GTACGGGACGAGCTGCGAAGTTACGCGAATCTTTATTGTCCTTGACCCACCGGCGCACCTTCCATAGGATCGTCGCCACCCGGGTTACCCTCCACACGGTTGCGGCGCTCAACAGACCCTGAGGACTCATAAATATCCTCCTCGTCTTCATCGGCCGTCATATCAATGGCTAGATTCGCGACGGAGCCAAAACGGGGAGGAAGAGGAGAAGGGGAAGCAGCTGAAGCAACGGGGGTAGCTGAGAGAGAATCTGGGAGGAATAGGGGAACAGCGGCGGTACCTCCACTTTCCCCCTCCTGCAGAACGGAGACCTCCTCGTGATCAGCACTACCTTCTTCCTGAAGATCTACCGGGGGCAAGGGAGTATCAGTCACGAAGCGAATGTAGCTTGACATCATCGCCTCCCACTCCTGCGTAAGACGATCCAAGCTAGGAAGTGCGGGAACAAGGTCCTCCCAATTACCCGCGCCATGATGAGGAAGGGCCGTGTCTAACGCGAACATGCGACGATGCAGAGGAGGCTCCAGGGAGTCGTCGAAGGGGGCAACGAAGCCGGCATGCTGCGCAACGTTGAGGAAGGGAGCGTCGTCCGAAAAACGGGAGTGGGCAAGAATGAGACGGTAGATACCCTCCTCCCTCTCAGCAGCATTGGCAAAAAACCACTGGATGCTACTGAGAGATCGAAGGTGGAGCTCGGCGTGAATGAAATGAGCAGCTTCCAGGTACTGAAGCGCAAGCTGGAAGTTACGGGCAAGCACGTCTTCGTCCGAGGTATCCAAACCACGTCGAAGGAAGGAGATCACCGCATCGATAATCACACCCACGTATCGATTGTGCTGGTGGAGAACGGAGGCGGGGTCACAACGGTAGAGTCGGTGGGCGAAGGTGGAGACACGACGAAGAGAAGCCAAGGTGTCGTTCAAATCCCCTTGCACCTCCGCCAGGGGGGGGAGGGAGACAGAATAAGATCCCTCGTCGGGATATTCGCGTATCATCTTCTCTGCAAAAAGAGCACGCTCCCTGAAGAGGTGAACCTCCTCTTGCAAGGTTTCGATTTTCTTCCGCTGCCGAACAGCCAGGGCGTTGGACTCGTCCACCAGGGATTGTTGTTGAATTAGGGAGGTTTCGAGCTCCTCGTTACGCCTGTTAGAAGATTCAAAACGAGACAAGTACTTGGCCCGACTCTCGCGAGCAAGACGGAGGTCCTCCTCTAGACCCCGAAACCTATCCACTAAAGACTGGGAAAGAAATGAGTAAAAGACCAGTAAGGGTAGGGAGGTAACATACCTCGTTGGGAGGTCCAGGCAGGGCACGCTTCAACGTCTGAACCTGATCCAGGAGACGATCGTAAAGCTCCTGCTGCTGAGCTGCAGAAGACACTGACTCCCGGAGCTGATCTAACTCGCCCTGACGAGCTTCCAGGGAAACGGAAGTGTCACGAAGGGCGGAGGTTAGAGTGGCATTCTCCTGTCGGGAGGAAGCCAGCTGGGACTCCAACAGACGGATGCGAGCAGCAAGACGTTCGTTTTCGACACGATAAGGATGCTGGGAGAGGATACGAGGAACAAGGGGAGGACGAACAACTGGAGACATTTTGGGGAGATTTGAGTCCCCGAGGGAAGCCTTTATAGGAGAGGAACCAGGTCCCAAGGAACGGGTTGATGCCTCCGCTTGGGAATCGGTTTGTTGATCCACAAGGTCGGCTAATCGAGCCAACGGAGAGGGACCTTGAACCGAACCGAGCTGCCCAGTCGCTTGAACAGAAGTCAAAGGAAGGGCCGCAGACGAACGTGCGAAGGTCGAAGGAGCTGAGCCTGGAGCAGAGGGGGCTGGGCGCGAAGGCGGGATAACCAGGCGCACAAGCCGTGGAACCTCCTCAATGACGGGCTCCTCGACAACCTTCGTTAGCCGCCTCTTCTTGGAACGGACTTTCGGCGGGGGAGAGGCGTTGACACGTTTCCTTCTAGCAGCTAACAGAGCCTCCTGCTCCTGAGCTTCTTGGAAGCGCCTGAGCTCGGACCTATCTACTGCCTGACTGTCCTGATCATCGAGCATGTTCAGCTCCACTAGGACCTTCGTGGCAGACGTGCTAGAATGCAGTAACTCGTCATACCGATGCCAAACATCTTCCGGAATGGTCCAGGACACCCGCTGCGCCGGAGTACCATGCAGCTCCAAGAATCGTCGGCTGTAGGCCAAATCTTGATTGCAACGGCGCGCAAAATAGCGGTACCGGAGCAGTTTGCCTAGGCTGCAAGTCTTCTTACCGGTGCAGAACGAACACCGAGGGGAACCTTCAGGAACCTTGCAAGTTTCGGGATGTTTAGTGCAGTTGGAACAGGGCAGGGCCACAGCCGCCAGGATAGGCCAGAGAGGGTCATCCCGACAGTAGACCGCCAACGACTTTCCCGTGTTGAAGATATTTTCGAATAATTGTAGTTGGGGAAGTGAGGGCGAGTCGATCGTGAAGGCCAATTGATCTTGTTCAACCTCCCCATCGGAGGCAACCTCCCGCCCGGAGGACGAGCGAGGCAAAGGCAGCCGAGAGGGACCAGCAGCAGTGGGAGCTTTCGAAGGCGAAGAGGGCATGTGGGCACAAGTTTTACTCGTGGAACACGAAGGCGTAAAAGAGTAGTGAAAACGAAGGAAGGACTTCAACGAAAAAAGCTTCTAAAACAACACGTGCTCATCAGGTGATTTCCCACGGGTACGCGACAGGTCCTCCTCGAGGGCGCGGAGGATTAAAGGGGGGGTAATGTCATGCCTCGACCGTTAACCACAGCTCCCTTTCTCCCGTCTTCACGCCTGGTGACTACCAGGACAGCCCCAGTATCAGCCATACGCTCTCACAACCCGCACAGAACCACCTCCGTACCTCCCCAAAAACATACCAGTTACCATCTTCAGATCCCTCGACACAAGTAACCCCTAAAACCTCCCCCGACACGCGTAAGAAGCCCTCCTACACCTACCCCATTAAGGTACTAATCTCGATTACATGCCTCATGGTCCCTGATGTTCCCTTGTTCACTTCCCATACCTATTTAAGTAGCTCCGTAACGTCCCCAAGCCCCAGCTTGGTATATTTTGAACACACACCCTTTTGCATAGGTCCAGTCCCTGTCCCTTTGTACCTGCTAACCATACGGATTTCTCTTTCCTCTCTGTTTCTCTACCTCTGTTTCTCTCTACTTCTGTCTATTGTCTCTCTGATCGTCGGTACGATCGAATATACGCTTTTACTTCAAGTCTAAGCCTTCCGAGTGAGTCCCCGAGCTCCCTCGAACATTACTAAAGCTCCCCAACGCCTACCCGCTTGGTGAGCTACTCTTCCCCAAACCTCCCAGAGCTCCCTAGCTACTTCGTAAGCTTCGGGACCTCGATCTAGGTAACGTCAAAGCTACCCCTCACGTCGAACTACGTACTGCTTCTCCGTTACCACCTCCCACACTCGAGGACGACCATCCTCCAACCTAGCCCCCAGGGACCTACCCTCCCTGGCATATCCCTTCTCGGGAGCTTACACCCTCGAGACCCCATTGCATAAACTACCTACTCGACTCTATATTGACGTTCTAGCGAGTACAACTCCTACTACGCAATATCTTACGGTCCCGCACTCGTCCCGAACCTCCCTACGCATTAGGGACCTCCCTGGACCTCCTAGGAACCCCTCAAGGGTCACCATCTCGTCGTTCCAACCACTACTAGGTCATTCCCGTCCTCGGTCGCGGTTCTCGTAGCTCCCTTCGAGCTCCAGCCTGCTCCTAGCACGCTACAACATAAACCTCCACATACCAAAACCTACCCTAAGACCTATTTTGACCCAGGTCTTACAATTGCATTATTATTATAGCAGTGAGATATAACGTTATGGCCCTCTATCCATTGATCAACAAAATTACTGTTTTTTTATCAGACCTGTGGGTTATCTCATTGGTGCGTTTGCCCGTATTTTTACTTGATCCATTGTTTAATTTCCTCCATATTGTTAGTCCATGATGTTAGTGATACTGTTGCATTACTCAGTTAGTTTTTTTTCAAATATTGTCCAACTTTTGACTAACTACCATATATTGTAGCTCAATCATCACACTGGTCTTCTTTCAATCTCATTTTTGTTACATGTAATTCATTTTGCAATTATCTGGTTTGTTGTCTGTATTATTCCTTATCTTGAAATGTGTCCCTACAATATCTACAATGAATCTCTCATGGTCCTTACTGTAACCTTTCTGGTTCAGTGTTCCTTTACTGTGACCTCTATGGTTCAGTGTCCTTTTACTGTGACCTCAATGGTTCAGTGTTGCATTACTGTGACTCTCATAGTCCAGTGTCCTTTTACAGTAGCCTTAGTGGTCTTATGTGTTTTGAATGTGGCCTTTATATCTTATTGTTACTTCATTGTAACTTTCATGGTTCAGTATCACTTCCTTGAAATTGAGTATATAAATTCTCAGCCCATGCAAAGAAACTTTGGTGGGGGTAGGCCTCCCAATAAATTAAAAGGTGGACTGGCATCTACTTTGATTATTGAACCATTTACTTTTACTTGTCCTATTCAAAAAACAAATACTGCACCCCCTAAAATGAATGACAAACTCACTTTCAAATTTCCACCTCCTCCTATTTCCAGGTCTCATATGGCTGGTGTTATTGATAAATGGTGTAAGTCTAGCACTGCTGTACATTTTGAAGAGGCAGGTTGTGCTGTATGTGGGCAGCTTACTTTGTGCACTGATCTTTCAGCTCTCAAGAATATGAAGAATTACCTGCATCTACTAGAAGCTCAATCTGTTACCCGGGCTTTCAGAGATTCTCCAAATGAGCCAATTTCTGATATTAAAGGTCCAGTATTAGACAAATCAGCTGGTGATAGAATTTGCAATAATTGTCGTTCTTCTTTGAGGTCTGGAAATGTACCCAAGCTAGCATTATGTAAAGGTCTTTGGTTGGGTGATATTCCAGATGAACTTAAAAACTTGACTTTCTATGAAAAAATGTTGATTGCAAGAGTCCGTCATACTAAATGTTTTGTCAGAGTTCAAAAAGGTTCTACTAATTATTCCAAATTGGTGTCCAATGTCATAGCATTTGAGAATCCCATTCCCAAAATATATGACACTTTACCTCCCCCCAGAGAAGAAATTGAGGAGGTACTAGCTGTCATGTTTTCAGGTTCTACAAAGCCAACCCAAGATGATTATGCCTGTGCTCTATTGCTTGTGCGCCGCAATGTTGTTGCCAAGGCACTCCAAGTCTTGATACTCAATCATTTTGACTATAATGATGTTGTATTTTCATCAGCTAATCTGGATAGCTATGCTGATAATGTTCCAATTGTTGCCATTGAATATTTCCAGAAAGGTTCTAATAGAAATGCTGAAGGTGTTAGTGTACATGATGATTTGAATGATGATGGTACTGAGGAAGGTACTTGTGTCTTCACTGTTCATGGAATAGTTGGTCCTTCAATAAAAAATATGACAAGGGACCAAATGATTGGTATTGCAGCTATGCATCTTGATAATGAAGGCAAATTTATGCGCACATTACATGCTGAAAATCCTGAAAGTCTGTGGAATAATCCTCAATTGTATCCAAAAATGTTTCCTTGGCTTTTTCCCTTTGGACTTGGAGGCATTGGTACTTCAAATATTAAATCATTTTCAGAATCTTCTCATCTCAACTTTTTACTCTTATATCATGACAAGTGTTTCCAGCTTGATCCAAATTTCCCATTAATTGCTTTCAATCATCAACAAGTCAAAGCCAGCAGTTCACAGTCCTACCTTCTTGCTGAGTCTAATAAATTTGATGAAGTTAGTAATCGATTTTTGTCTATTGATAAGTCTGTTTTACAAAATATTGCAACCCGTATGGCCAATGGTGAGCATGTCAAGCCAGCCAATGATTCAGAAATTCAATGTTTTAGGCTATTAGGTGATTTGAGTCATGCTGGTGCCAAGACACAAGTGTGAGGCCTGGCACAAAAGGCCTGCTCTCGTCCTATCTGGACTGGGCCTAAGCAAGCAGGACAGCTGCCTAGGCCGTACAAGGGGAGGTGGGATAAGTGCCGCTACTGGTGTAGGGAGCCTGACCAGTGGTGGTTGCGGAGCTTGGGTGGACCTAGCCAAAGGTCCTGGAGTGGGGGAAGGAGGTGTAGTTGGTGAGGATGGAGGTGGTTGGGGGTGTGGAGCCTCGACGTAGACTGTAAGTCGTAGGAGAGGCTCAGGAAGTTGAGAGAGGTGTTCAGAGAGGTGAGACAGAGAAGAGAAACAGAGGTGAAGGAAACAGAGTTGAGGGAAACAGATAAAGAGGAAATGTATGACAGGTGAGACGTGTCAGGCCCTGTTAGCAAGTACAAGTAGACTGTACTAACAGGGACCAAGCCAGGTTGGAAGAGTTTCCAGATAAGATTTGACAATAACACGCTGGGGAGCTCCAAGGGGAGTCCCCAGCCTAAATACTATACATGTGACAGCCATGTGGCATATTACATAATGGTAAAAGCGGACAAGGGGAGCTCTGGGTATACAGTGGGGAGATATAGGGAGGTAGTAAGGAGGAATATGATAGGTAAGGAAGCAAAATCAGGCAAGGCATGACAACAAGGTTCAATTAGTTCAAAGAAAAATATGCAGTCTGAAATTTGGTCTTTGATTAATCATATTGGTGGCCCCAGCTGGTATATTACTGTGTCTCCTTGTGATTTCAAACATCCTATTTGCATCTATTATGCAGATACTAAGGAAAAGTTTGATGTCCCTTTGAGGACTTCCTCAGAATGTCGACTTTTGATTAGCAACAATCCAGTTGCTGGTGCTCGATTTTTCCATTTACTGGTCAATTTATTTCTCAAGCATGTTGTAGATATTGAAAGCTCAGAAGGTGGCCTTTTTGGCCCCACAAGTGGCTACTACTGTACTGTAGAACAACAAGGCCGCCTTGCTCTTCATTTACATGGCTTAATATTCAATAGAAAATTATTGTCTCCTCAAGAAATACGTGACAAAATTTTAGATCCTGCCTCTTCATTTCAATCACAGTTGATTTCTTTCCTGGAAAGTGTTAGAATAGGTGAATTTTTAACTGGTTCACATGCTTATGTGAAGGAAACTGTTGCTTTGCAATCTAAGTCCAATATAAATTATATATCACCTGAGAGGACTTTGCCTACCCCTCCACCCCCATATTGTGATTGTGGTTTTACTGACTGCCACAAATGTAGCAATTTTCAACATTGGTTTGAAGAGTTCAAATGTACTGTTGATGATTTACTTTTGAAATCAAATGTTCATGATTGTTTTCGAGGTATCTCTCCTGATGGTTCTGTACTTAACCAGGATAAATTTGAGACTTCATGTCTAAATAATGCATATAAGAAATGCAAAGCTAGATTTCCAAGAGAGTGTTTCCAAAAAACTTCTGTAGACCCTGATAATGGCCATATTGATCTCAAGAAATTGGAAGAATGGTTGAATGATATCTCTCCTGGCTTAACATATTTGGTGCGAGGCAATACAGATGTAACATCTATTTTGTCTGGGACAGCTATCAAGTCTGCAGTAATATATATTGCTGATTATATTACAAAGACAGGCTTGAAAACACATGTCGTATTTGATAGTATCAAGACCATATTCGATAAAAGTACTGAGATCATTGATGGTTCTTTTAGTACAAAGGAAAAATCTAGGCGCCTTATCAGTCGCATTGTGAACTTATTATCCACAAAACTTGAGCTGGGAAGTCCAATGATCAGCTTATACTTACTGAAAAATCCTGACCATTACACTAGTCATAATTTTATTCCTTTCTACTGGAAAACATATGTTTCAACAGCTAGATCTTTCTTTGGTGAGAATGATTCAACTTCAGAGCCAAAACTCATTCTTACAAAACGCTGGGATAAAATTGTTGGACTATCCTCTTCATTAGACTATACTCATCGTCCTGTGCAGCATGTCAACTATAATTTATATAACTGGGTCTGTTCTTTCTACAAGGTAGCAAAACGTAAAAGTAAGGATGAAGTGTTATCTGATCCTGAAACTGAATTAAAGCATTCTAAATCTGCAAAATCCACAAAGGGTCTACCATTTTTAGCTGGTCATCCTTTGGTTGAAACACATGTCATTTCTACTAGACGCAACTCATCTATAACTGTACCAAACTTTATAGGAGCACTTCCTCGTCCCAATAAAGATGATAGAGAGTACTATTGTTGTACAATGTTAACCTTATTCTGCCCTTGGAGGACAGGAGAAGACTTGAAGAAAAAAGACCAGTCCTGGCATGAAGCCTTTGAAGCTTATAATTTTTGTGAACAAAGTCAATTGTATATGAAAAATATGAATATCCGATTTGAATGCTTGGATGCACGTGATGATTTTCGTGCTCAATTGAAGTCAGGAAAGCTTGATATTACTAAGCTTCCTTCATCCATTCCTATTCAATTACATGCAGATATGGTAAATAAACTGGATGGCTCTCATTCAGATATGAATTCATCTGATATAGAGGATATTGGTCACAATTATGATCAATATACTGAGGACAAAAAAGGTAATTTCTTTCTCAAAAGAGAATCTGCTATGAGGGTGATGAAAGATATGTTATTTAATATTGGTTGGGTTACACCATTAACTGGTAGTGTACAATCAAAGTCCATTACCATATGTCCCCCTGAACTATTGCCCAAAGAGAAACCTCAGCACTGGGATCTCATTCTAAAAGGTATGAGAGACCAAGTATTGGCAACTCGAGACAAAGACAGGGGATTACCTCCTTCTGACAACAATGAAAAACTGAATGATCCTGGAAAATATAGGCCCAATATTGTGGAAATTTGCGACAAGCATTATTTTGATAAATTGGGAATAGACTATGGAAGTGTCAAAGAGCTGACTTTGAATATAATTAAATGTCATAAGCTCAATAATGAGCAGGAGCGGGCTTTCAGAATCATAGCACAACATTCTGCTGGTTTGGTATCAGAACCTCTATATATATATTGGAGGCATGGGGGGTACTGGAAAATCACAAGTTATCAAAGCAGTGTTGCAATTTTTTGCTGATCATAACAGTTCTTTTGCCATTGTTACTTCAGCACCTACTGGAAATGCAGCTGCATTGTTGGGTGGTTCTACTTATCATTTCCTTTTAGGGTTAAATAACAAAGTTGAAGAAGTTGGAAGAGGCACTATGGCTCAGGTTTGTGCAAGGTTAGAGCATATCCAGTATATGATATTAGATGAAGTATCCATGCTTAGTTGCTCAGATCTGTATCGCATATCAGTGCAATTATGTGAAGCTAAGAATAAACATGATATAGCTTTTGGAGGTATGAATATGATCTTTGCAGGTGACTTTGCTCAACTACCACCTGTAGGTGGAGAATCTGTATCCTTATATTCATATAGGAGGCCCACTGATGCAAATAAATACAATGGACAATGTGCTGCAATGGGCAAATCACTTTGGCATAATGTAACTCATGTTGTAATTTTGCGCAAAAATATGAGAAATACAGGGTTGTCAAAGGCTGATATTAGCTTTAGATTGGCATTGGATAATATGCGATACAAATCTTGTACTAAAGAGGACATAGGTTTTCTGAATACATTGGTTTCCTCCAAATCTCCTGGTAGACCTTTTGTAGGAAAAAGTCCTTGGCGTGATGCAGCTATTATTGTAGGTGAAAATAAACATAAAGATGAGATAAATAGACTAGGTTGCTTACGTTTTGCTGCAGATACAAATCAGATCCTTACTCATTTTTATAGTGATGATCTTGCATCTAGTAATGCAGATCAACCTATGAATGTTAAATCCAAAAATAAGAAACAAGTCAAGTCATCCATATCAAAAGAACTCCAACATCACCTTTGGGAGTTGCCAACCTGTGCTCATGAAACTCATGCACCCCCTGTGTTATCACTATGTATAGGTTTACCAATTATTATTCGACATAATATTGCAACTGAACTTTCAATTACAAAAGGTCAAAGAGGTACTGTATATGCATGGCATGAAAGCACAGGTGCATTTGGTCAATGTATATTGGATGTACTTTTTGTTCTTTTGGATAATCCTCCAACACCGATTCATGTGCCTGGTTTACCTCCCAATGTTGTACCTTTGACTAGACGCAAAACCAAAGGGATTGTTACACTAAAAAATGATGTCAAAATATCTGTCACAAGGAATCAGGTTGATATACTTCCTGGATTTTCTATGACAGCATATGCATCACAAGGACAAGGTCTAAATCCTAATGCAACTGATCTCAATACCTTGAATGATCATCATGCAATATATACTGCTTTGTCTAGAAGTAGGACTGCTGCTTCAACTGTTATTCTCCAAGGTTTTGACTCAAGACTAATTACTGGTGGTGCAAGTGGTCCATTACGAAAAGAATATAGAGAATTAGAAATGTTAAATGAGATAACCTGTCTGAGATATGAAGGTGCATTAGACCCATCAGTAGTAGGTATCACAAGAAATTTATTGATTGAGAGTTTTTTAGCTTGGAAAGGCACAACCTATGTTCCAAGCCAAGTCCATTCTGCTGTGAGTTGGTCTGCCAAAGATCCATATGTACAACAATCAGAAAAGCCACTGTCTTGGTCTAAAATTTATAAAAAGGCTATGCAAAAACTTATGAAGCAGAATAAAAAATCTAATATTGGTGATGATACTACCTGTTCTCTTGCACCTCCTCCACAAATTACACCACTCAACATTACATCTGTAGTAAACAGCAAGAAGAGAAAAGTGTCTGATTTATATTGTTCCTCTGAAATTCCACTGCCTTCAGCTGTCAAGAAGCAAAATACAAATCACCGCAAAATATCACCCAGCAATAAATTACGTCGCTCATCAGCAGGTAGGCAAGCTTCACTAAGACGAAGCAAAAAGAATATAATCAACTCCGATTTTGCAAATCCAACACAGTTGGCTAACCTTCCAATAAGTTTGTTATGGTCAAATAATAGCTGTGCTTTTGACTCTGTTGTAACAATTCTCCTACATATTTGGATGGAGACAAATATTACTGGAGATGAATATACCAACTTACCTCAATTAATCAAAGGTTTCTCTGAATATAGACAGGGTAAACATACACTTGAATCAGTACGTGATAGCTTAAGGTCTTTACTCAATTCAAGAAGACCCAGAGAGTTCAGCTTGACAGGCTTTTGCTCCTGCATTACTATTCTTGAGGAAATGTTGAAAATGAAAAGTTCTTTCATGACTACCAAGCTTCAATGTGAACAAGGTCATTTGTCAAAGCGCCGCCCTCATAATTTGAAGCACAGTTTACTAGAGGACCATCGTCTAGTCTTACCAACTTCTACTAATGAATGGATTAGTGTAAATAGTCCTGCCTCATCTAACCTACTATGTGATTCTTGCCATGGCTCTTTGAGAAAATTCTTTCATATTGAATGTGCACCTAATGTTCTAGCTTTTGCCTGTGATGGAAGACCACACCTGATCATTGACAATATTGTTCATTTGAGATATAATAATGAAGACTTTATGTATGTACTCAAGGGTGTCATTTATTATATTCCAATGAGGGAACATTTCATATCTCGTATTGTTAGCAGTGAAAATGTAATTTACATTTATGATGGTATGTTCAACAATGGAGTACCTGTACTTGAACATTCCAATCTCAATGAGATAGATTGGGCCCAATGTCAGTCAGGTTCTGCTTCTGCTGTGATTTATTCCAGATCTAATAATTAATTATGCCAGTAGTCAATTCTTATCATATATCATTTCTCATTCTATACAACCAAAACAACCAGCCGAGTTTTGCCATGCTGTGCAGTGGCCTACAATCGCATGTAACTTACAATTTAACTGACATTCTCCTTCACCTCGACATCCTCCATTTGTTAATGTTTTTATCTATACATGTACTAATTCATTGAACTCTCATAACGTACCGAGCTGATGCGCCGCGAATAATCGACGTAGTCAACTAAACTTTCTGATGACACCTCTCCTCTGTATTCTCCGGCACTGTCTAACTTCTAGCAAGGGAGGGTCAAGCAGGTTGTGATACGAGTCTATTGATTCCCCAGGCGACGCTATAGGTGTCACTGTAATCGCCGGAAGATTCGGAGGACCAGACGGAGAAGGCAAAGAGGTAAATTTTGTCAGAGACCTTACGGGAGGGTTTAGAAGGAAATACGGAGATGTACGCGGGGAAGAATTGTGATGAGAGTGGTAGGTATAAAGGACGTATGGATTGAAGGGAGGTTCGGAATCTACGGCGATATCCGCTGATGACGGTGACAATCCTGCAGTGTAATTGTCTCCTCCACGAAGCCTATTAGGCTCCCCAGTCTTGAGGAATCCTGGAATGGAAAGCCCCGGAGACGACAGAGGAATAACTAGTGACGAGGAAGTGACAGACTATTTGTTCTTTATCTTGGGTTTGGGATCTGTAAAGGGGTCTGAAGTAGTTGGATTTACGTGGAGCCATCCATGGCTATCTTTGTCAGCCTGGCTTTAATTTCATACCTCACTGTACTGCCGATCTCGCTTTCTTCTTCTTCTTGTTCTTCTTCGACCGCTTGTAAACGTGATAATATCGGAGGCGACGCCGACTCATTGCTGTAGATCACTGCTCCATAATCGTGAACAGCAAAATTTACTCACGTATATGGTTCAATCCTTCCGGTAGAAACTGGGGTCTCATAGTTATGGTCCTTTTATTCGAAGGTATGGTGCCTGTTCCTTTGTCATCACGAAGGGTTGAAGTAGTGAGTTCCGTGATGAGAGACTTCCAGAGACTTCCTGGCTCGGAGGAGGCACTAGGAGGCACTAGATATTGGCATGATCGGTTCCGGCAGAGTTCTCGACGCGGCAGTTTCAGAAGACCTATAATTTTCCTACCCGAGAGTAGCTGTGTCCCAGGCAAAACCTCATCCACTAACATAGAGCACTCAACAATGCTTCACTTTCTCCACATTGAGCTCGGTTGAGCGAACACTTGTCTTATCCGGCTGTCCCTCAATGGGACCGTGTCGGTGCTTTCCTTTCCTTTCCGAAGAAAAATTTGGAAACACGGGCCGGTTACTAGGCGTCTGCAAGCGTTCGGAGGGAATAGAATCTTCAACGCAAAAATCCCTCAGCAGCCGTCGGTAAACTTCGTGCTGTAACGACAAACTTCTTTTCCCATACCTCTTTAAAATCTGCCTCTGGCTGGTCCAAGGCCGAATCCATTGCGTTATCCAACAACCTGTAAGCCCATCTTCGATTTTTCTCCTTCTAATTTATCCTCGAACAGTAAACTTCCATTTCCGCCAGCATATCGAACCCAGTCACTACTAATGATCGTGCTCCTTGCGTACATTTTCTTCATCCTTGACTTTGTCACTACCGTGACGCTGGGTGCTACTATACCTCATTCTGCAGTGAGTATCTGGTGCATCTCAAGCTATGTCAAGTGTTAACCCACTCTTTCATATCCCAGATCATCAACGTTCGTACTCCGAGCGCAATCAAAGCCAAAGTCGTATTCCACTCTCAGGCTAGACGGATAGCCGGCGAAGATGAAGCAGAAGCCATCCGAGAGTACGGTATCGAGTATATACTCGAGCGAGCCGATCTAGGTACCGGTGGAAACACAATCGACATTCAGAACATTCAATATGTGGGCGATCCTGCGTTCAACAAGCGCGACGTTATAGATTTTGATGTATGGTGCATTCGGCTTAGTCACCACCAGTTTTGAACAACTGAACTGGCTGACTCAATTTCCAGTCCTTTTCTTATCCCTCTTACAGAAATGCTTCTATTAGATAGAGGAACAAAACTGTAAGAGCGATTTTTCTCAAAGTCAAAATTGACGAAGTAAGTTCCAGCCAAATGGCGCCCTTCCTAATTAGGAAGTATCAGGGTTAGGTTTACATCACGTGTTGCACTACATTACTCGTTCAATCTATGATTCTGTGTTCATGATGTATCAAATTGTACTGCTAGGGACTCGGGAATACGTCCATGAGATTTATACTTCTTTGAGCTGAAAGTCTCTACTTGCGCCTGAGCATATTTTGCATCAAGACCATCCCGATATACTGAAATCCATCTGGGTACACGATGCTCCCATCTGCGGATCATGATTGTCTCCCGGAGAACAGACTCCATGGCTTTTGGCATGTTTGCTTTTAATGTGTCAAATGTATAATCACAATGGTCACAGATGGCTTTGGCATTACGAGCTCTTTCTGCCCTGTCAAGTTGGCGCTGCTTGTTCTTTGTCTGACCACGAGTCATAAGGGAGAAAATGGGAAAGTGGATGGAAATTGACTGGTTACAGATATGTACCTACAGACATGCAGGCAGCAGTGTGTTATGCCATTCCTCTACTGCCGCCAACGATCGTTAAATGGATAATGAACATGTAAAATTCATTTAAACCAGACATATGATCTTAAAATTTTTTTCGAGACCTCGAATGGCGCCTGTTCGAAACTAGTGGTGACTAAGCCGGATGCACCATAGAATTTCCTGGAAAGGAGCTACCAACGCCTAACAAGGGGCAGATGTCTTGGACCTTGAACGCAAATAATGAACTGGAGCTCAACGCGAGGTTGGTCAACCCACAAGGAGTGATCATGGCTCTGATCAGTAAATGGAAGGTATTGCCCAATTCACGTACTTCATTCATGATACCGGTATGTCTGGGCGTGGATTGCGTATTCGTATTCATGCTCATAAATTTGCATTTGTTCCCTCGAAACAGAGTGGCGTAAACTCCAATCTTCCGAAGCCTGAGCCCAAGGAGTCAACAGGCCAAAAAGTGAAATGGGCCGATAAGCTCACATCCAAGAAAACCTTTGACCCTGATGATCCGTTGGAACCTAAGGGAGCTGGGGGAAGAAATTAGCACATAATGAATGATCTACGAACAACAGCGCGCGTTATCACTTGGTCGCTGCCGTCTTGCATTGCTACAAGCATTGGTCCTCCCTTATTCAAGTTCTTTGTTGAGTACATTGAATAGTACCAACTTCTCTTTAATTGAACTCTATCTCAGTCTTCTCAAAGATCCACCTGAAATCATGAATTTATGTATTCTATGTTGTACGTAGGGCATAGGGCAGGCAGGAACTAGGTCGGTAACGCGATGGTAGAACGATGGAGAAACCTTGGAACTATTATCCTTGATGAACTTCACCTTTGCCTGCATATACATATAATGACCACGATAGGTTGACATTCCACCAGTGATCACATGCATGACAACCCAATGATAAAATATACGGCAGACGATCTCTTGATCACCAGAGGAAAGTAGCGCGGGATCCAATGATTGCAGACAAATAGAGCGGCTGTGTCGCGGTCACCCCTAAGTGCAGCTGAATACTATGTGCAACGTAGATAAGCATTATTGTTACAGGTTTAAGAGATAACGAGGATAGTTCTGTGGAGGAGGTTCCGTGAGATGTCTGGAAGCCTGAAATTTCTTGAGTCGGGCTTCGATTAAGAGATTGCAATGTCTAAAAGTGAATTTGAGGAGCAGGTGCAGTGCGGCGTCAAAGGCGACGTCGTCTTCAACGTCACTAGCACAGTTGTTCAAGTCGGAGTCGAGTCTAGATCCTGAGGGAGTACGTCCAGCGGTCTCGTTGGTTGAGGTACACGAATAGTGAGGACGTCGGGACAAGCAGATGGATCACCCTCAGAATTGAAGGAGACATTGATCAATCAGTTTGGGGATCACAACTTGACATGCACATGGGGCTCTTCATGTCGTGTACCTGCTTGGTTTCGGCTGCGGGTCTTTGAGAATGAAACCGATAAAGCTGAAAATTATAACGGTCAACGAGAATTGCATATATATTGAATGATACTCACCTGGAACGGATTTATACTTCGATGGGCTCCTGAGAAATTCGTCCATTGAGGCGGTTCGTCGTTTGGCAATAGCCGCTGCAGTGTTTCTCTGCAAATACAATGAGTCGTCGATATTTCAACACTGAATTTCGACGGTTCTCACTTCTGCCACAGGAGCGAAATTAGTAACATCTCCTAGTATCCTGTGGCTACCCAACGTCGAGACTATGAAAATCATTGACTACAAAGTGTTCAAACGTCCGAAAAGCGATCAACGTACGTTTCTCTTTCAGCTTCCGTTCGAATGATTCCCTGTATATGTGTTAGGCCTCCGTCAGTGGACAAGATACATTGACCAGCAGATCTTACCAAGCCTGAGAAATATCAAGGAGTCCGTCCAGCAGTGCAGACCACGCCTCGTTGATGAACTCATCATCAAAGTCCACATCTCCTCGACCCACAGCACACAGTAGCAGATAATCAGGAGAAGGTCGTTTGGAATCCGGGCATTCATCGATGTGATTTGATTGAAACTTGAATCGCCTGTGGATTGTTGAATTCGAACGAGCCAATTGAAGTAGATACCTGAAAAAAAGTGAATGTAAGTACAACGAAAATGATTGAACAGTCATCCCCATAGCCAGAAACTCACGGCCAGAAACTGGGCCGAGTTAGTTCTTCCGTACGGCTCAGTCTTCAGAATTTTTGCTATCGCCGCCGATACTTTTGCGAGTCCAGCGTCGTACTCTGCATAGTTCCAAGTGAAATTTGTAGCGCGTCGTAATCGATCTCTAGAGGAGGTCTTGAGGTTGGGTTCTGATAGATACAAGCTGTTATAGATTGTTGCAAAGGAAAGCCAACATTTGGGGCCATAGGAAAAACAAATTGAGGAAGGATTACGAAGATGGTGGTTGAAAATAATGGAAAAGCTGTACCAGCGCTTGTGCGTGTCGGCCAACTTAAAATCGTTCTTCAACTTTCTGTACTGTGGACGCCAGCTATCAGCCCCCTGAGACTCGAAGAAAGGCGACGACCAGTACAGACTCTGACTTTGCCGTCACTATCGTCAGTGCTACGCTCAAACAAATCCTCCTGCAGTTATTGGTCCGACCTTCGAAGCTGTTCTGTTCTCAGAACAATCAAATTGGACACAACCATGACATTTTTTTTATCTTGGAGAGATGACCATCCTTGTTGTAAACATACATGGCATCTAATACTGTCATAGATTATGAAAATGCATACGAGTCGATGTCTGCTCATGTGGGGCTGTCGAAAGAAAGGAAGCCATGTTCTTGCAAACGTTGTTAGATCAATCAGCATGATTCAGAGGTCAAGAAGCGCATGGCTCATGTTGAGCATATGGGCCAGGCTCCATTGACAGATACTTTCCCTTGTATAAAGGGATGGCTAGACGTACATCCTTTGAGGGGCCGCCAACCATGTTCAAGTCTTTACTCCTCTTTTCCCTTCCCCTCGCCTGCCTCGCAGGTACCATACGGAAGCTTCATGAAAGGCAAATCTCCGGGCCAATGGGTGTTGATGTCTCTCACTTCCAGGGAACTATTGACTGGACATCAGTTGCCGCGAATGGGATCAGTTTTGTCTTTATAAAAGCCACCGAGGGGACCAGTCAGAAACACTTCATATCTTTTTCGAATTCCACTTACACTATTACAGCCTTCCTGGACCCTGATTTTTCCGATAACTATATCGGTGCTACTGATGCTGGTCTAATTAGGGGCGGCTACCATTTTGCACACCCAGACATTAGCTCTGGTGCTACTCAGGCAACATACTTCCTTGCTCATGGAGGTTCGTACTGTGCATTAGTGTTCTGTTCAAGACTCCCTTAACCTGCTCCTCAACCAGGCGGATGGTCCGCTGATGGTATCACCCTGCCGGGTATGCTGGATATTGAATGTGAGTGCTTCTTTCCTTGATACATTCTCTTGGGCCTTCGGTGTTTATCCTTGTTGAATTACCAGATAACCCAAGCGGCGATGAATGTTACGATCTTAGCACCTCTGCTATGGTCTCATGGATTCAGGACTTCTCCAATACCTATGAATCCCAAACGGGCAGGTAAGCTGATAGGTTTTTCTCGATGTTGAATTTTCCAAACTGAGTAATCAAACAGATTCCCAAGTCCGTTCATTAATTCGAGCCATCTTTTCCTGCTCGTCTGACTATATTATGTCGTATTTTTAGTCATTTACACAACTACCGATTGGTGGACGACTTGCACAGGAAATAGCGCCCTATTCGCGAATGACAATCCACTTTTCATAGCTCATTATGCCTCAAGCATCGGTACAATCCCGGCTGGTTGGTCGTAAGTTGATCCAAGGCTATCTGTACAAGTGAAGAATAGTTAACGGCAACATTTTCCTTCTTCAGTTTCGCGACCTTTTGGCAGTACAGCGACTCCGGCGCTAATCCTGGAGATCAGGATGTGTTTAATGGTAGTGCTGCAGGGCTGAAACTGTGAAAGATTTTTTACACCTCTCAGACGAGACAAACTCACGATACTTTGAGCAGAATAGCACAAGGATGATAGGCGATCTGTAGGTAGTACAACATGGCCAGTGATATTTTTCAGCCGTTGGATTTCCATGTTAACGTTACGACTAGAAGGAACAGAAGTGCTATCCTGAATGCATGTCTGCTGGCTGAATCGAGGGTGAAGTACCCTACTATGGTATTTATGGATATGCACTGTGCAAAGATATGCAACTCGTCAAAAATGCCTTTTTTCATAAGCATCCCTTGGCTCTAGCACTTTGGGGATTTTTTGAAATAATTATGGGATATTATACCTCATATCTAGCCTATAATTTCATCCATTTGTGGATTGAACATTGAGTACCAGAAGGAATACCTTCGAGACTGCATTGATGGCTCCCATCAATCATCCAGGAACAGAGGGTGAGCAAGATATATGGCTTAAAAAATGCATAGAGGTCCAAGACAATATTCCAAAGGCCCTAAATATGAATTTTTAAGGGCATAGACCTAGTGGATGAAGCATGACAAGGAAAATAAGAAGAAAAAAGTGCAATCATACCCGGGCTAAGGCCGACCGGTTGCATATCCTTAATTTTGCTCGGACATTGCCCGACACCAGCAGGAAATTCACAGAAAATCCCAGAAATTCACAGTAGTTGTGTTTAATTATGAGGAATCCATCTATCTAATTTTTTCTACAACAACTGCAGTGGTTCAAGGTGGGCAAGAGATCCCGTCTTATTTTGCATATCTTAAATTACCATAGTAATTGTTGAAAACAGTTTTGACCGAGAACAAACTCCGGCGTATGTCTATCTTGACGGACGTACCTTCTAAAGGGCTTGATCATCGCTATGAAAAGTTGAGCGAACAAGCGGAATTAATAGCGGCTCGATCGCAGGAAGAAATATACCGGTTGGGTCGTGAATATATGGCAGTTCAAAAATTCAAGTAAAAATTGACCCGCCCAACCCCCTCCCACTATTTGGTTGGTATCCGTTTGATTCGATGGTATATCGATCGAAATCGAATGCATGTGCTACCCTACGCACAACTAATACAAGTTACAACGTCTGAGCGTTGTTTTCGGGCCAGAACGAACAACTATTAATATACATAATCCATATACCTACATTCAAATTATTTTGATCAAACCTCAGTTGAGTATCTAGACACGCATATGAACCGAAAGATTGTTAGGAATGTCGTGTGAACCAGAAAACAATAACTGAACGCACTTTCCAAAGCTGGTATTTTGGGGAGCAAACGTATTGAGCGGTATCGAACGGTGTTGATCAATTTCCTGTTTCTGATGCTTAAAATTGAGCATCTTCTCTGCTCAGACCCGAAAGGTTCGTACCGTGGCGCTAGTTGTCGTGTAAGCTGTTTCCCAGCCATCCATGTCGGTGGGTCCCATCGACGGTACTCTCGTTCCCAAGTGAAACATATTTGTACGGTTTGTAGTTGTGTTTTGCTTATCTGTTCCCCTTCCACGAACCACGCGACGGGTGTTCAGTCTGGATACACGGCAGAAAGTATGAGGGTCTGTCACAGCGAAGCACAAGGATCTTACGTTGCCATGAAAGAAATCGCATACACTTCAAAACGACACCATCAGTCTCGACTGCGCCCAATGACGAGATTAAGGGGGAAGTACATACATTTGCTCAGAATGAAAAATACCGCGATGAAGATGAGATTACTGGGCATGAGATTGTACTGGTCACATATTCAGCAATCACAGTAAGCAATATGGTGGAAGGATTAACCCACTAGAACCACCGTAGTAACACTGATGACACTGCGATCGATGTCATCAGTTTGATATTCTATAGCATGATAGAAGCAGAAGAAAAGACCTGATAACAGGAGTCCGTCAGTTGTTCTAAATCCATCAAGATGGGTGAACGCGTTACCTAGTCAAAGCGCCCGTGTTAATTGCATATTTTATTAGACTGCTGACCAGAGAATCAGATCTATGGCAGGACGAGTGTCAGTTGTGGAGCCAAGGAAAGAAAGCATATGCTTACTGGCGATAACCGGTACGCAGTTTATTGAGGAAGTAGCACAGAGCAAGAGCAGTGACAATGTCTGTTAGGACTCCGACACCAAGCGCGATAGTTCCTAAGACCTGTGTACCAAGAGTTAGAAATGATTTTCGAAAAGACCAAATGCGCCGTACGCACGCGCAACCTCACAACCGAAAATACATCTGGAAGCATAAACCTTGCAAAAAACAAAGTTTTGAGCCGAGTGTAAGATTCGGATCCTGATCAAACTCACGATTTTACAGTGAAGACTGAAGTACGATTCAGTAAAGCAAGTCAGAAATGTCGATCGAATAACTGACCAATTGACAAGGACAAGCCACCGATAGCAAGAACCATCTTAGATGTATTTCAGTATTGTCAGGCCTTCTTGTTCATCATCGACACTCACGATCAAGCCGGTGATCCAGAAGTTTCGTTGACTGACTGATGGAACCTCAGAATACCTTTACTTGGAAAGCAGGAACGAAAACTTACAGCGCCATACTCTCAGTGCAAAGGAGCTATAACAGAAGGTCCGGTCAAAATGAAAAGAAAGACTAAAACGACGCGCGCTCACATCTTGACTATTGTGCCCACGACAGACTAGAACGTTGTTGAGTAAGGTATTTTGTCGTAAGGAATGAACTCCGCGTACCCCCAATGTTTGTTGTAACTATTGGATATTGTTGTCACATCAGTTATGTGTCCCCTTCGTTGAATACTATCACTCACAATGAATGACCTGAAAATTTCTGAGTCAGACGTTTTGGTGTTATGCATACAGTGATGCTCGAATACGGACCATGTTTGAGCTCCCTCTATAAGCGTAAGAGGATTCGAGAAGTTCGAGATTCCATAATGATAATAAATTTGGCCAATAAGAGCTTGATCTACTGTTTCTAGAGTTCTGTGACGACGTCGATTCCGATGTAATAATTTCAGGACGATATACACGTACAAGATTAACAGGACCTGCAAAATTGGAGTTGTTTAGTTCAACAAGCCTAAGGGGAAAAACGCAAGGACGAACGATGAACTTGTAGACCGGTCTATCCAATGGATAATTGGCAAGATATGTGTAGATTTGACTCAAGAGAATGCCATAGATACAACAAGCCATGGCAAATCCGACAAAGAGAGCACCCAGCGTGTTATCAATTGTCACCTCCGGAGACACTGTTGTGACCGATTGCGCCATGGCGGACGACAAGGAGCGGGTATCAGAAGTGGTCAGGAGAAAGGAAAGGATACAGAGTGGGATTTGATTTCGCAGATGGATTTGAAAACCCTATATCTATTGTGGAAAATCCAGAATTGCCACGGGAAACCAACCGCGTGCTAATGGATACATAATTAGAGTGCTATGTAATTGGATTTTCGGAAATGGAAACGACACGACGGCTCAACGGAGACGTACTATCCGGTTGTGAAGTTGAGCTCACAACTAGGTGCCTTTGAAATCAAATAAATAGGGCCCTGTCGAGCACTGAGATGAGGTGCGATTGAAAGGAAAAGATGAAGAACGGCATTTACTAATTGAGGGTCGAAGTATGGCGGCAGAATTCATCAAAAAATATTGCTCCAACCGATCAAACATTGCCGTGGGACTTTCGACTTGGGCATCTTGACTTTGACTTTTTGCCGTCCTTTGCACATTGCGTGCAAGAGCATGAAAGTCGATATGTTAAGGATAGAGCAATTTTGCATAATTTATAACGTATTACTTTCAACAAGTTTAGTGACTATTTGAGCTTCACACTGGTATACTATTGCATCTAGATGCTCTGAATTAAATTTGTTACATCAATTAGAAAAGAATTGGCGTTGAGTATCAGCACAAATTTCAACCACTGTCATCAATTAGCGTCTCAAGTGGTGACAATTTGTGATTTTTGATACAATATTTGTTGTTCCAGGATCTCAAGCAACTCGGTTGAGATGGCTCTTAAAATCGTCGTTAGACGTATGGTTTGCCCTTCCAGAAGAAGTGTTTTTCCTCCCATCTGGTCGTTCTTTCTGCTTCCTCTTCGCATTTGTTTTGTTTTTGTATCATTTTCCATCATATTGCCACATCCTCATCCTCTTGCCATCGGTGAGTTTCTGTTGGAATCCAACCCATATCTTCATCCGAATTTGACCACTTTTGTAGAAACATGTCCGGACTTGATCCAGGTCAAGTTGAGGCCTTCCTCCGAAGTCACCCCGGCCTCCTTGCACAGCTTTTTCAGCAATCACAAGTTTCTGCGCATTCTACTCAGCCTCCGTCACCTGGTGTCATCACCTTGGATCCAACTGCAGCCGTTACTCATCATGGCGGAGCAAGCAGCATCTCCCCAAGTCAGCCTAGCGGTAGCACTACTGTGCCGGGAGCTGTTACATCTGCTTCATCGACCATGTCGGGGGTCATGGCTCCTGCTTCTTTTGCTGGGATTTCTTCCAATCGGGCAGTGCCATCGTTGTATTCTTTTAATCAACCCGATCCTTCTTCACCCATGAACCCCTCAATATCTCAGCCAAATTCCTTTATCCCTACTCCTCTAATCATTCCGCACTCTGGCGTCCAGCCCAGTCCTCCTATTGCTTCTGCACCTCCAATAACTCCGTACTCTAGCATCCAGCCTGGTCCTTCTACAGCTCCTGCACCTCCAATAACTCCATACTCTGGTGTTCATACAATGCTGGGACGGGTTGTTGCATCATCGGAAGGGCAAGGGCATCCTCGGACGGTCACAGCCTTCCCTAGCATTACCACAATCAATCGTGCCAACAATGATAGACGTGCTCATGCTGCTGCTAGCCGCTCTGCAGGCTCCACAAGAACTCGCAGCAAGGCTAAGAAGCCCCCATTGCTGAAGGGACCTGGACCTCGGAAAATCGAAGATTGTATCCTCATAGATCAGAGTGGTGTTCCAGTGGTTCGACTAGATATTCTGATTTACCCTGGGTTTCCTTCGGTGGATGATCGTAAGGTGTGTATGCTGAGGCTTGCCAGTTCTGTAAACTCAAACTTCCCTTCTATAGAATTCTGCAATTGGACTGCCAGACAGTATTTATCGTTATCTCCAACACAATGATGCTTTCAGAACAATTCTTCAATCACTTGACCTCGTCTACCAATTTGATGCCCTTCCTACTAGTACATCCTTGCTCCAGTTATTACAAAACCTCAAAGAACGACTTCTCAGCTGCGGGTTTGTTTTTCCACCAATGGCTTCAGACTCAATTTTCCAAGACCACGAGCGCCTTGCTATTCAGCCCCTTGCTTATGTTGGTAGGGGTAATCCAAACAACAACGCTCGCACCCCTCGTCTTACCCCTGGAATTGTCACACCTACTATGACGCTTCAGGATTTACTCGATGATGTCAGAAAGTATGCAATTCCAAAATATGCGGTTACTGAAGATAATCGTTTCTTGCTTTGTACCAGTGCGTCCTTCACAGGAGCTAGATATATTTTAGTCTGATTTTCAATTTATAGTCCTCCGGTCCAATCAAGTTGCTCGTACAGTGAATCTCCATCGTCTTCATTTAGGTTCTGAAGATGCTGAAAGAGTGCACTTCTGCCTGCCTCATCGAATATATGGGTTGTTGAAAAGGGACTTCGATGCTAACGTAGATGTGGGTTATCAAGCGCTCGATGAGGAAGAACTGGAGCTAGCTTGCTCTGAACATCATGAAGACGATGCGGTTAGTTTCCCAAATGGTTATTGGAATTCATGTTTACAATTTACAGGATACTCGAGTTATTGCTCAAATGTTAACGCTTCCAAGGGAAAACGATTCCGATGGTTAGTTGTTTGACTCATTGCATTTATACCGAAGTGGAACTTCCATTGTTATAGGTCGCAGTACAAGTTCGACTGCAGTAGTCCTTCGTCGAAGTCCTCGTTTCAATGCCAGCCTAACAGTCAGTTGTAATTTTCACTGTAGATGTTGTTACCGGTCTCAATTCTGGTAGGTATCGTCAACTCAGCTATTGTGGTCTACAGCCTGGAGCCCTCTTCCACGGCTCGAAGCTCTTCCTGAGTTTACTGAGCCATCGCGGAAGTCGTATATCATCAATGCCATTAATACCGCCTATCAAGCTACTCACGGAAATGATATACCAGGGGTCTTTGTGAAAGGGGTGGATTTCGAAGCTCAAGTATCGGAGTTGGAGAAAATAATGGAAAAGGCTTTGGAAGATGATGATTGGACCTTGTTGTTTTCAAACTCACGACATTTTGTCAAGTGCGTATATTGTTCTTTGTATCTTTCAAAGATCATCCTTATCCTTTACTTAGGACTGACATCGATGCTTCTGGAGAAGAGGTATGGGTGACTTCAGGTGGTGGCTTTGAACGAAGCGTATTGCTTCTCCTCTTCCAGAAATACTTTGAAAAACGGTTTGAAGAACTATGCACACCACTTATCGACTGTTATTATACCCTCTCAACCGTCCCCATGTCCTCTACAACACCCATATCTGAGACCAAACGTCGGGATTTGGGACTATTTGGTGCAACCGTGGCCCTAGCCCTGGTTAACGGTTACCTTCCAGAGAAGCTCAATCCGCTTCTGCTAGTGTATTTTCTCTCAGACTGCCAGTTTGAGTGTCTAAATAGGACTGCAGTCATGGATCTTTTCCCGGAACTCGGTGCAACTATAGACGACTGGCTTTCAACGCCATACGACAACGACTCTAATTTGAATAGATTTCAAGCACATTTTGCCACGTATCATAACATGGAGGTGCAGCTTGATATTTGACATTCCGTCTTGATCTCATTCAGGAAATGCCATACAGACTTCCGCTCTGACCAATCGTACAAAAGAAATGCACAACTCTATTGCCCATCATATGCTTCACAATGCCATTATTGGCCCGGCTGAAATAAATCATCCATACTTCCAGGCTTTTATAAAGGGATTCAGACTTTCCTGCAAAAACCACTATACCTTACCACAGGCAAGTCTTATCGTTGTGGGAGAACACACACTTAATTATTGCGTCATAGATTTCCCGCAGCTTTGCAGGAGGTTCCTATGAATTTGTTATGCATCTATCAAAGACGATGATTAAGGATTTGAATTCGCTTCCAATACGTTATTTCAATCAGACTACGGCTTCAACAAATACGGTTCTTCAAAATGCATATCGGGTAGTCTTTGGGGGAGAGTTTGTGTTTGATGCATGGTTTGAAGACTTCTTACTGGGATTAGGAACGCCTTGCCCAACCTTACTCAACTCCGCCAAGGATCGTTTCAGCTCGGTTGTAAAGCTAGAGGATATCTCAGAAAGCACATTCCGGCTGCGTTCATTTGCTTGGGCAATATCGGGTGTTCCTCGGCGTATTCTGGATTATCTCAAGCTGGAGGTATGTACTTCGTACCTTTTGTGCAAATGGGCAAATAATAATTTTATTCATAGGTTTATCTAGTTGAAGACGACGATGCTCAATATGGGCCTGGAGAGGAGCACTCCGCGTCTTTACGACAAGAGTATCTGCGGCATGGAACTTGCTCCTTCCGTACTTGCCTGCGCGAAATGCGCATTCCTGCTTCTTATCTTATTCGACTTCTGAATGCCAATTATTCTCCACAATCCGAGCCCGCTACTGCTTATCAAGCCATTCATAACTGGCTGCTCCTGCAGATTCTTGAAGCAATTGGGGATTATACCATAATTTAATCTATATACAACCCCGTTTTGACAATGCTATAATATGTGTATACTGCTCGCAATATCTGTATAAAGAATACGACCTAATATCGTTCAAGCCACTGGTCCCGACTTAATTTGCACAAGGAATGTTCCAACATAAAAAAATCGAACCCAATCTGCTTCTTAATTGGTGACAGCTTCCGATCACAATCTAGACGATGAAAAAGCATAATGAAGGCGGGGACAACCTCTACTTCAGAGCTGCTGGAAGCAAAGCCAAGATTGAGAAGCCCATGTAAAGCGCCTTTGTCGAGTTTCGGGATTATGGCGGCAATCTCTTGCAAGGAAGGATGTGGAATACGTCCAGCATAGACCAAATCTACGGCAAAGAGATATGCAGAGAGAACGCCAAAGGTTACAAATAGAGATTTTGAGTCGTCGCCTTTGGTATTAGCAATATAGTCAATGATTTGGGTGAACGTTATGCCGGGCTCTTGCAGTTTTGCGTGTAGTTTAGCACTGGCAATCCAAAACCGATGAGCGTTGTGATGTGAGCGTCCATTGGTCCGACCAAATGCGGACTTGTTGCAGAAATAATCATCTCCTTTCTGCTCATGACGAAGGACAAACTGCTTCCATGCCTCCCATGAATCAAAAAAGCCTCCGTTGTCTAACTCCCAAAGAGCAGGGGTATTGAATAGGATGCCCCGAAAGATGAGACCACTAAATATACCCTCACGGGTGCTGATTCGATGGTGATCAAAAAGGCCGTCGGCCTGTTGGACTTTGAGTCGAGAAGTGGCCAGCTCACGAAAGGGACAATTGCGATCTAGATTATTGAGAACATGAATCTGAAGCGCGTTCAAAGGCTCAGCGGCGTGATTAGTAGGCACCACCTGAGCGATCTCGATAAGACAATCGCGGAACTTGTTATAGCGTTCATCTTGCGTCATACCCGTAGCAGCCGGATACGGTCCAATTGAAGAACTAGTGGATGGGATGGTGGTCTCTAGTGCTTCACGACTCGATGGCGAAAGGTTGATGAAGCGGAAATGTGTGGTTCGTAAACGCTCCAAAAGTTGCTGAGTCTCTTCAGAGCGAGTATTTCCCAGAATTGGGTGGCAGCTAATATCAGAGATAAATCGCTTCTTATCTCTTCCTGAAGGGAGGGAGTTTCTTGAAGGTGAGGGAAAATGGCGTAATTGGGAAGGGAAGTTGTATGCATGCCAAACGGCGTCTAGTAAAAGAATACTGGGATTCTTTGTTAAAGCCAGTAGCGTATTTAGAAAGAATGAACGGATAGAATGACGACCATCAGCAGGGAAATTGAGCCAATGGAACACAACTGCTGAACAGACGTCTGTTTTCAACAAACGTTGGCTTCCACGTATCCGTTGTGGACGTTCAACCGTCCACTGGAAAGTCCGAGGGGGGTTTATTTGAGGAAGGAAGTGGGAAGAATCGAAGTTGTATTTGGTTCCAGGTACCCCTTCTTGCACCGCAGTTTCAATAAGGCAAAGAAGTCCGTTCCACCATGACGTCGATGGATAATCCAGGCTAACATCAATAGACCTGCAAACCCATTCATGAAGACGATAATGAGTGAGCATGATGGTATGATGAAGCAGAAGTGCACTAGCATCGTGGACTCTGGAGTTAGTTTCCAATTGTGCGATTAGAGGCCAAGCGCCAGCTGCTAATCGCATAGTGCTAGTCTCCAGAGGAGCTTTTTCAATAGCTAAATGAAGTTTCTCAACTTGGAGAAATAGTTCATGCATACTGGGGCTGCGATCCAGAAGTAGACCTGCAATACCACCATCCAGGATGTCAATGACGTATAGAAGCGAGTCTATGGAAACTTGATTCAAGAACGGAATTTGAAAAGCTACGACAAGATTAGCTTTATTTTAGCCATTGTGCAATAACATACTGGGGTGATTGGAGTTTTTGTTTAGCAATTGCAATCCAGAGTTGCCTTGAGATAATGGTTCAGTGGTTAGGCAAATCTCAGTAAAGTTAACGTTACCGGCTGGATGATTTTCTGCAGAGGTACTGGCATTAATAGAATTATTATCCGCAGGAGAATCAAGATCTAGGGGACATATCAGGCTACAGATCCTAAATAAATGTAGTATGCTTGGTTTGGCCCACCTATTGCTACTGGTGAGGGTACTGGACTTGTTTATTAGAAAGGCATGACGAACGATACAATGGCGACTTACCATCAACAGAAACGGCGAAAGCTCTTTTACAGTACTTGTCAAACATAGGTCCTTTGCTAATAATAGATCAAGATTGCAGCATGAGAAGCATTAAGTTGAAGGAAACATACTCGATTTGTGACTCATGAATCCACTCCTCTTTGAGATAATTCTTCCATTTTACAAGATACTCATAACCGGCCTGCTATGGTCTTCGTTAACAAAATAAAATGATATACAAATGCATATTACCTTGGGTTTGGTACTCAAACGATGAGAAACAAAGCGTTCGACCTCAAAACATTCATCCTCCACCTCTGAGGAAGGGTCCTCTAAAATGAAGAAATTGTTTTATTATTGAAATGTGAGATCAAAAATACTTACCGTTTTCACTGAGGCTTTGTCGTTTTCGTTTCTTCATATTGTTCATCTGCTTGACAGGATCGAAGTTGAGTACTTGTGGAGCCTGGTGGGCCGCACCGATGATTTCAACTGATTTGGAATCGATGATGAGCCGCGATAAATAAATGAGATCAATACCACGTACAAGCACTGGTCCGGTGCACATTCTTACTTTTCCTTCCTTTTCTTGACTTTGCGAGAGCCTTCTTATGAGATGCCTTTTGTGCAGCAAGAATGACCTTTCTGGTTTTTGGTGGCAGCGCAATATGTCGTGGTAAAGGTATTGCTACAAAGCAATAAGACGTTTGAGTAGTATATGTTCAGAATATGTGCTTACCAATCGGAGAAAGTTTATAGCTGCGAGAAGCAGACGGAATGATTTGTTTTCGTTTATTGCAGTGCTCTATCCATTGAAGATGTGCTTTCTGACGGTGGTTAAGGAGCTGTGGATCTAGAAACGGCAAACCATGAAGATATACTTAAATGCATATGGCGCTTGACCTACCAACGTCTACCGATGGCTCGCTCCAAGGTGAACTATCTGGAGCAAGCAGCCATGGGCGGGCCCAATATTTGATCATGTTTTCCGGGTCTTGGATATACCAGTCTTGACGATATCGTTCAAAGTTGCCACACATTCCGGGGCATATACGTTTCTGGTGATACAAAGTGTGTAAAAAGAAAGACCGGGCCAAAAAGTCAATTCTGGCTTGAGGAGGCACAATAAGAGCACCATCATCAATGAAGTTTATTTCATTTGCAGAGGTTAAGGTGCCATCAACCAGAGCGCTACGGCGCATGTAAGCTCAAGAGATAGACCATATATTTGAAAGATTATACTCAGGGGGTTCATAGTCCAATTTTGAGTCTGAGTCCGAGTCAAAACTGTGACGAATCGTCAATACTATATGATATGGATAACCCAAACATACCTTTTGCTGGCCCTAGCAGTCACATCGCGCATCTCTGGGGTTAGTTGCATCGGGATACCATTTGAGTCAACGGATATATTCATGCTGACCCGACCATCCAGAAGGGCAGCCTGAGGATATAACACAACCACCCAGCGATATGCCCAGGGTGGGATCTCTACACCAGTCGGTGCCAACGGAGGTGTACCGCCATGCAGTCGGAGACCAGTAAATGTCACCATGGTTGGTCCATTCAGCTCAACAAATACCCCAAACTCAACAAGATGGAAACGTCCTCCCTCCCAACCATCATCGGTGGGAATGTCCGGGTTAGAGATAATCTGTGTATAACTGCCCTCGGAGTCCCACTGGTCAAAATGAATGCCACCAAAGAATAACATTTCTTCAATGCAGCCTACGTCTATAGCCATATCATTGGAGGCAGCGAATTTGGAGCGATCCATCAACTTACCAGTTTCTTCTGATTTAGGCCGCGCAATATTTGTTTGTACGCCCGTGAAACAGACGTTGTCATCAGTTCCAACACGTGGAACATTGTGAAGTTCACAAGTCTGTTCGAGAATCTTGTATTCTTGGGGAAGTATTTGCTTGAAGATATCCACACCAGCACGAACACATCTCTGGATGCAAAATTATATCAGTTGGAAATGTAAAACAAAGATCACGAACAGTGACTATATTCTGACGGATTTGCAAGTGCTCCTTTTCCTTCTGGGATATCTCTCCACGCACTTTGCCTCCTACAGATGGTCCAGCTAGATTTCGAGGTTTTTGATGACCAAAGCCAACACTGAAGCAGCTCCCCTCTCCTCCCACCGGAACGGCTCGGTTTCCACACTCTTCAAATTTTGTACTTCCAGTACGAGTCCTTTCATCGCGGCTACCTAATGTTTCGTCCCGTAGTTGATCAAGTATTTTAGATAGATCGGAGTGCTTTCCACTAGAATAAACCAATAAGCGGCGCACAACGATGGACAAAATTTGCGCACGGTTGGTAAGCATACGCTTCGAAAGAATCGTCTTTATCGTCTCCCGCCCCATGAATATCGCGGAAAAATAGGATATCTCCCGATACAAGTTTTCCCCACCCTAGCATAATAATCAGTTCCGGACTATTAGATACCACAAACGACGCACCTAACGCCGGAATCGTAGCACTCCGACCTCCTGGAATTTTGACATTCTCTTTCACATAGTGGAAATAGAACTTGTTGTAAGCCCGGTCGTTGATTGGCCATGGGATCACTAGGATACGGTTGATCTCTGGTCGAAGCTCTTCTGGAATGCGTGAGTGAAAGGGGACCTCGAAGATGGCTGGAAGATATCGGTCCCTGGTCTCTGAGAATGCCAGTTTTTTTCCATCCTTCACAAAGTCAGTCGGAACGGTGAAAGGCTCCGGCTGCGTTGGAAGGATACTGGGAGTGCGAGGAGAGGAAGCTGATTTTGGTGATTTTTTGGTTGATTTTTGAGATACAAATACGCCTGTTTTGTCCTTGAGCCAAGCAACGGCCGCCCGAGCAGCCTTTCCCGTAGGTTTTGACCTTCCCATGATAACGAGTGGAGGACTGGTGGTAGCGTTACGGTACCAAAGATGGTTGTTGAGAGGAGGGAGGCCGCGGCAATTCCGGCAATATTTCCGTTCAACTTCGGAATTTTCCGCTCCATTGGCTAAAGAGCGCTAGCCTATCGAGCGGAAAATTCCGAGATTAGACGCGTGCTACCCAAAAGACGTCATCATCGCCTTCTCCTCCCTCATCTTCCTCCCCTCTTCCTTTGAAACCACCTCGAGCTCCAACGCGCGACCACGATTTTAGGTCTTCGCATATTCCTCCAGCTCCTTTTGATACAGGAACCCTTGAATGTTTTACCCACACTTGACTTGGACGCGACGATAACAATTTTCCACCGCTATAGAAGACGCGATTTACCGCGTAGGATTATGGAGGAGGATCTAGGATTGTCGATGAAGGCGACGAGGAAAGAAAGGCTGATGCTGATGCTTTGGACGGCAACGAAGAAAGCAACGGATGTGTTTATTCCGATGCAGAAGATATTCGCGCCAACGACCTTTCCTAGGGTACAAAGAAATCAAAACGCGATGATATGGATCTGGATCCCGACTCGAACGTCGTCAGGTCGACTTCGAAGTTATCCCTACATCCACCAAATAGTCCTATCAAAAACCCTGTGAACGCTCTTACTCCCAATCCAAATACGAAACATACCCTTATTCCAGTTTCCAACCGCAACTCTTTTGCTTCCGGTTCAGCTTCTGCTAGTGGATTTTTCGGCAGTCTGCGCGGGCTGTTCACACGAAATGCGAAGGGTGGCAAGGACGGCAAGAAAGCGATAGGTGGTATCTTCCACGATGAAGGGTATAAAGAGGAAGACCGGAGCGTCGTATCTTCCCCTCCATTCTTTCCCTCTTCTTCTTCTACTCCCGCGATGCCAACGGCGTAAAGCATACGAGGATGAATGATGAGTGAGGCTCATACGCCTAGTACTCGTTCCACAAATTCTACCTCGACAATTATACGTACGCCTACATCTCCTTCAAGAACTTCATGTGTTGGGACGACGACGGACGCTGGGAATGGGAAGAAACTCAAGAAATCGCCGGGCGTTGGACCAGGTTCTGGTCCTCGAGGACGTACTCCCTCCAACAATGTACCTCCTGCTGAACTTGCACAACGTAGAAGAAGCGCGAGTGGGGATTATGGGGAACTTAGTGTACGGAGTCGAAATGTGCCGAGACCGAGGTCGAGAGCAGAGGAGTGGGTCGAAGGGCAGGGACCACACGAGCAGCACCAACGTGAAGCGTCAGCAATGGAGACGAAGGAGGAGGAAAACTCTGCGCTCACAAAAAAGACCAGTGCGAAGCGGCGAAAATCGGATAAGCGGAGATCGTTGCCGGTTTCTTCAGCAACATCATCATCGCCTTCTCCTCCCTCATCTTCCTCACCTCTTCCTTCGAAACCACCTCGAGCTCCACCAGCAGGTGACGCGCCAAAAAAATCGATGTCGGTTTCTGTATTGAGAACCTCGTCTATCCGAAACGCCACTAGTGCACCTACTAGTTCGTCGATGTCAACGTCGACGACAACTACAAAACAGACAAAAAATCAGTCCTCGAATACGAAATCCGATCGGAGATCTAGTGCGCCGCCTGTAGGCGGTAGTACCAATGGCCATGGAAGACCTGCAGAACCGAGCGGTGGTACTAGCTTGATGTCCATCGTGGAAGACGTGGCGAAGGTGAACAGAGAGGGATGGGGCAAAGTAGAGAAAGAGAAAGAAAATATAGGAGCGGGTTCTGGTCTGGGTATTGGGCTGCGAGTTCGAGAAGAGGAAGAAGAAGGCGCGAATATGTCATTCTCGAAGAGGAAACAGCCGACAAGTATCGCGTTGGAGGATGTCAGAGCGCCCAGAGGTATTGATCTCGAGGATTTGAAGGAACAGATGGAGAGGGAGAGGGCAGAGAAGCTAGAAAAACGGGGTCATGTTCTATCTCAATGTAAGAAGAGATATCTTTCGCTCTTTTCTGCGTTGATTTTGACTAATTCCACAGATACGGAGAAAGCTCCATCTACAGGTAGACCTCATTCTGGTAGTGCTTTAGCTGCGATATCTAGACGACCCACACGCAGTGTACGTGATACGTCTCATTTGGATCTTGGACCGACGACGCCTGCGTTAGCACCTCTGGCTGACATCCCGGTCGTCAATAACACCCAAACCCGAATACCAGGAAACGCCCAGAATGAACACATGCGGTATAACCCTGGACAGGTGGTGCTACCTCTACAAAGTGCGTTGAAGAATTCCAGTCAAACACCGTCACCGATGTTACCGCAGTCGCACTTGCAGCCGCCTCCTCAATCTCAACAAACTTCACCCAAAGGATCTCAGATGGGCTCCAGCATGTCTACGGCAAGTTCCTAAGGAGCTAGCATTGAACTTCCTCGTCAACACAACCCGCAGCATCAATCTCCAAGAACAGCATCTTCGCTTGCAGTACCTACAATTACATCTAAGAGAGATGTGAAGGGAAAAGGCCAAGAAATGATTGATGGGTTTACTGATTCCGGCGCTATCGCCATTATTGGATCTACTGGAGCTGATTCTATCCCTTCCCCACCTCCTTCGAATCTTTCTACTGGAACTTCATCGCCTCCTCGTCCTATCTCGTATTCTCTCCCTACCTGAGTCTTGCTCCCCCTGCTCTCGACCCTCCTTGGTCCATTCCACCTATTCCTCCCAACTCTCCACCACGACTTGTCTATCCAGATCAACAGCCGTTACGTTCAAAGAGGTGTTCGAGTGGTTCAGGTTCTAGCTCGGATTCTTCGGGCTCAGACTCGTCGTATGCGGTGTCGATATCGTCGTATGAGACTGGGAGGGAGGTGTTTGATGATCTCGAGGATGGGGATGGGTAGGTTTCGGAGTCTTTGGAGAATACAAGGCTGTATGTGGTCGAAGATGGTAGCAATGAAATGGAGACGGAGATAGGTCATGCAATAAATTGTGTCCATTGGCTGAAATCTCTCCATGATCAGGCGCGCTAAATTGTTCCAATTTGACGCTGCTTCGTCCGAGTGGAAAGAAAGAGGTACTGGAGATGTTCGTCTTCTAGTACACAAAGAGACGAAGAAGGTTTGACTTGTAATGAGACGTGTAATGAGATGCGACAAAACTTAGAAGGTCTGCACAAATTACTCCGGTGCGTGACTTTTTTTCGTGTATCGAAGAGGGTTGTCATTTCCATTGATTAACCTAGTTTCTGCCGACATGCGTCTGCAACCCAACATTGGATCCGATCCATCATGGGTTTGGAAGGTTGCTGCTGAGTACTCTGAAACCCCACCGACGTCGGAGACGCTTGCTATCTGATTTGCTAACTCAGAAAGTTGGTAGGCGGGGTTCTGGATCTTATCTCGACGTCTTACAGAATTTAAAATGCTCCTGAATTTAAGAAAGAGTTCGAAGCTACTCAGAAGACAAATGCTGCTCTAAGAGGTGGTGCCCCTGCAGAAGCATCTTTGATTGAAGAGAAGGAGGATAAAGATGTAAAGAAGGAAGAAAAGAAGTAGACCATTCGAATTCTGGATCCCGTATTTCCCGTTATTGAACTTGTCTCCATGATGGAAATCCACCTCTCGCATATTCTCTAATATAACAGTCCAGTATTTCAGGTACGCCTTCTACAGTAATCCTGGAATGCACTACATTCATAGGCTGTTTGCGTACCTTACAACTAGCACTTTTCATATGCAGTTTCTTCTGAAGCCCACGCTTCCCAGAACGTTACAGGGGACTTGTAACAGGTAAAACTGCTGTACTTGCCAACCATAACGTAGAATCAAATTCAGAATGCCAATCTTGAAATGGACTTGTGGCGGGCATGGCCCAATCGCTCGCGCTTAGTTTGATATCAGCACCAACAGCAGGACATGGAAGGATAGACGACCAAGGCGAAGTATGACACATTTCATTAACGTTGTATATACATAAGGAGCGTTCAATGATTACTGGTTGAGTACCAGGAAAGTCAAATCGGTAAGGCATAGGGAGTATTTGTTTGTAGAGATCATCGTTGTATGGGTATAAATTACTTCTGAGGTTAACGAGTCTTTAGAAAAGAATGTGGATTGCAGGAGTATGAACTGCTGGGGGAGACAATTGCTGGTAAATGTGTGAATACGAACTACTGGAGGAGACGATTGCTAGTAAATGAGGGTAAATGGGTAAATACGGACTGCTGGAGGAGATGATCGCTGGTAAACAAGGGTAAGCACATGAATACAAGAGGGTAAGCGCGTGAATACGAACTGCTGGAGGAGACGATTGCTGGTAAACGAGGGTAAATGTGTGGATACGAACTGCTGGAGGAGACGATTGCTGGTAAATGAGGGTAAATGCGTGGATACGAACTGCTGGTAAACGAGGGTAAGCGCATGAATATGAACTGCTGGAGGAGACGATTGCTGGTAAATGAGGGTAAATGCGTGGATACGAACTGCTGGAGGAGACGATTGCTGGTAAACGAGGGTAAATGCGTGGATACGAACTGCTGGAGGAGACGATTGCTGGTAAATGAGGGTAAATGCGTGGATACGAACTGCTGGTAAACGAGGGTAAGTGCACGAATACGAACTGCTGGAGGAGACGATTGCTGGTAAATGAGGGTAAACGTGTGGATACGAACTGCTGGAGGAGACGATTGCTGGTAAATGAGGGTAAATGCGTGGATACGAACTGCTGGAGGAGAAGATTGCTGGTAAATGAGGGTAAATGCGTGGATAAGAACTGCTGGAGGAGACAATTGCTGGTAAATGAGGGTAAATGTGTGGATATGAACTACTTCTGGATGAGATTACGATTGATTTCATGGCGGTGAGTGGATAAGTGATCCTGTCGCAGCAAAGCCGCCTCACGTTCCTTTTCGTCGTCTGCATTGGAATCGAGTCTGCTGTGAGTTCTAACGAAACCAGGATCATGCCAAATGTAGCACATCCGCATCCATGTCCTAAAAGCTTCAGTGTCTACTTGACAAAACTAAGCAACTAAAACCGACATAGCCGATAGAACACTCACTCTGAGACTTCGTCAAGCTCCATTTCTTTCTTAAAGTCGCCTCCTCCGCCCATTGGAATAAGGTCCTTTTCTTCTGGTACCCACGAATTTCCCATCCCAATTTGTTTACCAGTAGGTCTGCAAACGATTGTGGGCCGTCTTTGAATGTAACCTTCTGGCTCTCTAGGCCTCCATTTCTATCATAACCTAAGGCAACTATGAAATTTGATGTTGCAGTCCAATTGTTGAGCATATTCAGGAAGGAAACCCCTCTTCCTTGACGGCGCTGATATTTGACAGACTCTAAAATGAAACCTAACTGATGGCAAGCAGCGGCAACATCAGCAAAGGCGCCGTCTGGAACAAGATCCCCATCGTTCGCTGAGTGGTCATCTGTCACAGGCGAAGCGCCATCAGAAAGATGATCGATACCAATATTGTCTGGACCGGCATGTAGCATTGAGGGTGCACCGAGCACCGGTGAAGGAAAGCGGGGTGGAGAAGTTTGCGAACATGGCAATGAAGACTCGGAAGTAGCATCTGGACTAGGGCGAGGTGGGATTGAATATGGATTTACTCGTTTCCGATGTCTGGGGCTGCAATATCTCAGACTCGGAGTTATGTAGCTTGGTAAAAGAGGGTGGATTGGAAGACCATGGATAGAATTGACCAGAATGAGAACGAAGTGATGATTAGGATGGTCCATTGGTTGAAAGGCTGCACGGGTATCGGATGTAAGGAAGTCGTTCACAGAACGATCACTTGGTTTTAAGGCAAATAGCTCTGTCTCCACTGTAGATGGGGTATTAAATGAAGCGTTTATCATTGATTCGAATAGTGGTCCAAGCATGCGAAAGCCTTTGGTACAATTCAGAGGGATACTTCGAAGTTCAGGCGACATTGTGGTAGCAAGGTAGGTTTCAAACTCGCTGTCTTGAAATGCAGAGCGATAATGAGCAGGAATATATGTAGTAGAACCGAGTATAAGCCAATTCTGTAGGACTTGAATGACGCTGGATCTTGCTAAGGTAATCACTCCATTCCGATGGAAAAGAGAGGACGGCAACACGCTAATGTTGTAGATGGAATACAGCTCTTCTACAGAGCTGAAGATATTTCTCACCATCCCCAGATGCAAAGAAATTTCTGAAATTCTCGAAGTGAGTTGCAGAGCAATGGAGGCGGTTTGAAATCACTAACTAGGGACTTGCATGGAAGAAGATTGGTCAAGAAAGTAGGACGGTTCTGAAGTCAATCCAGACGTCTCCCAAGAAAAATAGGCAGACAAGTCCTGCCCCTCCATTAGGACTGAGTACAGAGAGAAGGAAGGAGAATCCGATTCAAAACCAACGCCAATGCTCACATGATTGTATCGGCCAATTCGGATTGTAAATTTCCAAAATCTTAGACCGATGAAATAGCTAGAGTATGGAAAATCAACATTCTTAGAGCCACACCGGGTCTGCTGCTTCTCGTTTATGAATTTTCTCTCAAGCTAAGAAAATACAGAACGTCCGGTTCAATTCTGTACTAAGCTACTTATGTCGTAAATTTACGCTTTGACCAGTTAGGTAACAAATATCTTACAGCATCCAACCAATCTCAGTGCAAACTCCGTGCAATGCGCCAGTGTAAACTTCTTTTGCTTTTCTTGCTTAGCATTTCAGTACTTCTCAGTATATCCAAGGATGCCTTATGTGATGCAACAAATACTACGACTCCTGTGAATGAAGTTGTCAATGAACTTCGTACAAATTATCGCCAGTTTGAGTCAGCAGTGACAACCGCCTACACACAGGATGCCGATACCTTTCTTCTCCAACGTCTAGGAGATGATATTGAAACATTTGCTTCCATAGTCGATACTGTAAGTCCTTTTGTTCATTTCATAAACAATGCATCAACCCCAATTTTCGATAGCAAGAGAGTATTTTCAATGAAAATTCAGAGTGGCAGATGCTTCGGACGAACCTTCAAGCCATGCTTGCTGATGTACGGACCATGTATAGCCGTCAGCTTGACAACTCGCATCTAGGTCGAGTCGCACTGATACACCATGATCATAGTGGTGGACAAGGGCGTCCTCGCATCATAATCAACAGAGAATTTCTGGAGTGGGCATATACTCAACGCACTACAAGCGGGATAGCCGAATATCTTGGAGTTGCTCGTCAAACTGTACGACAAGCTTTGTTGGATTATGGGATTGCGCAGCCTGGCATTAATCCATTTCCACCAAGTGAAGTTCATTCAGAGCACACCGACTCAGAGAATGATCCAGTCCTCGACCAGGATGGAATGCTACCACAAGAGTTGCCTGACGATGTGCGGGATGCAGCTGCCTTGATTGCTTCCTCCTCCTCTTCCTCTAGTTACCTTTCAAACTTGTCAGACGAAGATTTAGATAGGGTGGTGAAAGCATTGCGTTCACATTATGCGAGGGCTGGAATCCGTATGCTTCAAGGAATGTTGCGCCGTCTCGGTCACATTGTACCTTATGAGCGTGTTCGACTATCTCTTATCCGAATCGATCCTATACATCGAGTATTTGACCGTATCCGTATACGGCGGCGTCAATATGAAGTGCCAGGCCCCAACTCGTTGTGGCACCATGATGGGCACCATCGTAAGTGTTTATATAGCTCTTTTTGTAGTTGACCAATGGCTCTTGTTCACAGGACTTATACGATGGGGTATAGTTATTCATGGCTTCATTGATGGATATTCACGTTTGATAACTGGCATGAGAGCTCATGATAATAACCGATCACCTACGGTCCTTTCTCTTTTTCTATCTGCTGCTGAAAGATATGGAATCCCTTCGCGTGTTCGAGGCGATCATGGTGTTGAGAATATATGGGTAGCTGCTTTTATGGAGCATGTTCGAGGCACTGGACGGGGTTCCTACATTTGGGGACGGTGAGACAAAATTTTTCTTTTTGTTCTCTAGGCTTACTTTCTTTTCAGTTCAGTTCATAACGTCAGAATTGAGCGTTTATGGGTTGATGTATCACATTATGTCTCCCAGCATTGGCATGATGCCTTTACAGCCCTTGAAGTTCACCACGACCTTGACGTTCAAAATATTAACCATATTTGGCTCATTCACCACCTTTTTCTTCGCCAAATCAATGATTCTCTTGCGTTCTGGGCCGAGTCCTGGAATAGCCATCGGGTCCGCGAGAATAATGGTCCAAGTCGCTCTCCAGAAGATAGATTTGGCTTTGATATGTTTGTTCAAGGCTTCCGAGGTGAGGCATTGGATCAGTTTGCAATGTCGGATGAAGAGCTAGAGGTTTTTGGGATTGATTGGGAGGGTTTGGAGGATGAAGTCTTGTTGCGTTCACTTCGCAAGAATTATGCTCATGAAGATGGTACGAGCACATGGCTGGGACGACATGGACCACCTCCTAATTTGAACGAGGTCGTTGTTGACCCTCCTTCCGACTTGTTGACGTCTGAGCAGCTAGATGCGCTTAACATGGCTCTAAGACATATCCCTCGAGGTTCAGAACTTGGACAAATTGTAGATCTATGGACTAATGCTTTGGCATATGTACGGACCATATATCCAGGTTATTTCTAGATAAATCAAACTACATTTTCATGCATGTCACATCTTGGATCAAACGTACGGGGCTCAAAATAATGAAATCAATAGTGCACAAATAAGTATTCTACACAACACAAAATGATAAACAATAAGTACAAATAGTTCAGAAAATGACATCAATAGATGCTGGAACTAATCATTCATATCCCACCGAAGATGTGATTACATGGCAGGTACAAAAGTTGGTAGTGCATGGTGGCAAGCTCAACCCTTCTTAGTCATATGGGGCTTTGAAGAAGAATATTGTATTTGTCAAACATAAATCTCATTTTGAACCAATCGATGAAGGAAATTTTGACCTCAATTGTAGTCAGCTACAAATGAAAGCTCACTTATTTGTGAAAGTGGAAAGTCAAAACGGAGAATCCAGTGCAAGTCATAAGTCAAAGTTTGATTTGGAGTCCAAGTGATATTATTTGTCGAAATATACCTCCATACTTCTCTTCCTTTCCAGAGTTATTTCTTTACAGGTTTGAAATTCATAGGACAACACTAGTTACTGCCCAAAGCACAGCTCAGGAAACAGGAGATTGCGCTTCCAATTTTTCGGGGTGAGTGCATTAATTGCGAGTAATGTTCATAGCGGTATTTAGTGCTTAGTTTATCGCAGATTCGCACAACGTGGGGGAAGGCTAGTACTTACGTACATAGCAGTCCTAGTATGTATATGAACTTGGAACTGGCTTGGAACGTATACAGGAAGCGGATATGACACTTTGCGACGGTCTCGGATGGATGTTTGTAGAGCAAACAATTGGAAACAGTTGGACTTCTACACGTTCCTACACGTTCCGAGGGCTATTACAATGTGTGATTATAGTGAAAGTTTATCGAGATCAATGAGTACTTGGGACCTTCAAACATTGATCATGACGTGAAAGCGTCTGGGAAAGGTTTGTTCAATTGTTGAATGTCAGAATAAGCCGGAAAAATGTCGGTTCATTGCTGTACCCCATTTTCGACTCCCACTAAGCTTGAAATGCCGCCACCCGGCAAGAACAAGGCCGGGCGTCTCAAGGTTCGTTATGACCGTTGAACTTCATCGCGCTATGGCCTTCCATTGCCTCTAGTGCTCCTCTAAAATGTCTATTTTCATAGACGCATTTGTTCTTAGGGAGCGCGTTGAGACTTTACTAGCAGAAAAATGCGAATCTTTTGAGAGTCATGTACAAGGTACGACTATTTCTCTCCTGTGTTGTATTCACAAAGCTTGAAGTTGTTAATGTTAACGTTGAGTTTGTACAGGCAGCCATCATTTGGTACTTACTCCATGGTCCTTCGTGCTGATTGTTTCCTTCTTTTTCTAACTACGATATCTTTCAAGACTTTCATTGCGCAAATGTCTCGTAGTGGCAAAAAACTTGTTCGCGTTGAATCTATATATTCAAGAAGACGAGACAGCGGAAGCGGACTTTCTTCTCCTTCTAAAATGCCATCAGAGGTTCGCGGGAGGCTTTTTGCCACGTTTAAATATGCATAATACTCACTTTCTCGTTAGATCGCGACTATGCGTTACCTGAAAGATCATTCAACGATTCCTATCCCCACGATACATGGTTATGACGCGGATGCTGACCGCCATGTTGGCGGTACGTGGTTGGTCATGGAATACGTAAGTCCTTAATGCAATGTGGTCCAGTAATTTTATCAGAATCAAGCAGGTTGAAGGTCTAAATGTTGACCAGGTATGGCATACCTTAACGACGACCCAGCGTGAACAGCTTGCTCTGTCTTTGGCAGATCTATGGTCTCAACTCATGCTCCAAACTTTCAATCAGATTGGAAGTTTGTACGAATGCCCTGAAGGGCAATTTGCGGTCGGGCCAATGACTTTTCTTCCGAGCAAGAATCACTATGCTATAGCTCCTCCTGATAGGGCTAAATGTGGCCCCTTTAACACTGCAAAGGAATGGCTTGAAGCTACCGCACGTCAGGAACTTGCATACCGACTCTCTCTGTCGCCACAGCCCGACGCCTCCTCACGTATTAATTCTGTGCTGGATCTCATACGTGTCTCCGAAGATCTAGAATCAAGCATAAAATGGGAGGCTTCGCGCCTAAGTATAGAGCACGTCGACTACTCTACACACAACGTTCTCGTATCCCCAGTCGATCCCACAAAAATCATGGCAGTCATTGACTGGGAGGGCGCTCGAATTGTTCCTATGTGGGCAATGAATCCGGCTTTCAGGTGGCCCCATGACTCGGACGAACTCGAGATTAGACATCTGAAAGCGCTCATGCGTGACAGAATTTGCTCTCAGGTACCAGGATGGAGCTCTGCAATTGGGAACGAATGTCGCCCATTGCGTGTCCTCTGTATGAAAGCGACTTTGAGTGATCGCAATCCCGATCTCATCAATCCTGACGGATATCCCTTGGATATGTCCCCCGATTTGTAAGTACTGAGTACTGAGCACCGTGCTGTTTCTGCTGTGTTTTATACTTTTCCATGCTTTATGGAGCAATGTTAGCTAAGTCGACCTAAAATATTGATAGTAAGTTTCATCCAGGTAAACAACATATTTGACCTGATTATTATGTGCCAGTCTAAGTTCAAGATTTCGAACTTGTTGAGGAACTTTGGGAAAGTGAATTTCCCCTTGACTTCCACAGAACCTCCACTGTAAATCAATAAGAACTTCCCGCCAAGGGACATTTACTATCCTACGGACCTGCAGGAACAATAAACTCTAGAGTAAAATTGGAGGCTTCAGCCCCTTTCAGGCCTCTTGGGCGTCGTTTCTGTAAACTGTTCATTTCATAAACCATTCTAAAATATTGCGTACCGTACCAGTATGAGGTGAAAACAAAGCAACATGATGGTATGCAAACATTCTCCTTGAGAATGTCCAAAATTGGAATGAAGCTGGCCTTATATACATAATTAGGTTAATTGACGACACACGAACCTTCTCGATCTGCCATTTCTATCTCACCCCTCTCTAAATGAGTATCTCTGTGTAGTGTTAAACTCAGTGCATGCTGCCTCCACTTCGTCATGCACCCACCAAAACAGATCAAGATAAGCTGGCTTCTGTGATTCAAACATTTGTCCTCATGAAATTTCCGTCACAATGTACAGGTACTAAAATGAGTGTCGTAAGTCGAGAACAAAAGCCTGTTTAAGTATGGGCTAATGTCAGCTACCAATGTCTTGATGAATATCATGCTGCAACTTCTTCAATCCCAGTTGGGTATTCAGCACCCAAGCTGTGCGAATCCTGCCAGGTTTTGGGCATGATTTATGCTCTGGACGGAGTCGTGATCCCAGGACTGCAGCCCCGAGCGAATATTGCTCGTTCATTGAAAGGATTCCCGCGTACATGCGGCATTTATATCGTTGGATATCCTTTCTCCTAAACAGTATATATCAATTTCATTCTGGGGCAACAAATGTACAGGTACCTACAACGGCGCACATGGTGCAAAATCAAACAAATTCTTGAAGTGAGAGATTATAACCAGCGGAGGACACACAATTGCAGCTCGTGATGCATATTGATATCCCGTTCGTACATGTATCGGGATTATCACAAAAAACTTCTGAAGTCCATAGTGGTGGGTTTCCGAAGGTACGTTCCTCTGGATCGGATAATATTGTGGAGGTTTCCGAAGACGTAGTGCACGGCGAAGACAAGCGCGTCGTCCGAGGAGGCTCTTTGTGGCTCTCGATCTCTTCAGGAACGAAGAACGCAAGGCTAGCCGATGAATGGTGATTCGTGACTGAAAATCGTATGATCAGGCATTACGATGTTCATAGCAGGTCAAATGTAACGCTGAACGCTTCGATGGAATAAAATCAACATTGCCTGTGATGCCTATTGACCATCATTTAGTACGTTTAAACGTCATAGACCAGCTTTGCTAAAGCCTCCTTGGTAGTCAGACCACCTTGGGCATCGGGGGTGTAAAATGCATAATCCGTATATCCTCGTCCACTATCATCTCCGCGAATGTAGAAGGTGTCCCTATCATATGGAGCCAAAGGATGGTTATGGATAATCCTAGATGGAAGATCAGGCTGCATAAGGACGTTGACATGAGCATTCATTACGAACGGCGCGGAGAGAGGCAGCTTACATTCGAGATGAAATACCTCCCAAACGCAATTAAGTCCTCCTTTTCATTCGCTACCTGCATCGCGGTTTCTCTGGTATAACCGCCAGCCGAAATAAGCGGCTTTGGGTGCCAGATCTGCCGCAAAAAGTCGTTTGAGTCTGTTTGCACGATGTTTTCTGCACGTTCAGTCTTGGACCCATTTATTCGCGGTTCAACTACGTGAAGGTAGGCAATGCCCGGCAGGCTCTCTTTGAGCTTGGTCACTAAGTAGCTGAATGTTGGAATTGGATCGGCCATACGCATATCTTCGTCAACAAAGGATATGAGAAATCGTCTGATGCGGGGCAGCGCATTGCGTTCTTACTCTGGAACAGACTCCAAGGGCTCAGCCTCACAGCGACCCGATCCTCGCCCACCGCCTTTGCCACTTCATGCATCACGTCTATTACGAACTTGCACCTGCCTTCGATACTTCCACCGTATTCGTCCGTGCGTCTGTTAGCGACATCTTGCGTAAACTGGTCGCACAGATAGCCGTTCGCCGCGTGGACCTCGACGCCATCGAATCCAGCTCCATGAACTGCATTGGATGCTGCTTTACCAAAATCAGAAATGTATTCTTTGATTTCTGAAAGTGTCAAGGGTCGTGGAGGTTTGTCTTTCAGACCAAAGAGCTGCACGTCTGAAGACGAAACATATTCAAAGGGCTTGGAGGTGTCTTCGACACCGGGGTCCTCGTATTCTGCCGCACGCCCAAGGGCCCAGATTTGCATGAATGCAAAGCATCCTCCGGCATGAATTTCGCTTGCGACCTAGTAAAGACCAAAGAGTCGCGTCGGCGTCACGACGTAAGCTGTTACACACATATGTAAGACACGAGGTTGCGTAGACTTACCACTCTCCATGCATCAATTTGGTCTTGGCTCCAGATTCCAGGTAGGTGCGTCTTGCCTCCGGCTTTGTCTGAGACGAGGACCGCTTCGGTGATTATGAGTGTTCCCGGCATACTGGCACGCTGGGAATAATAATCTTTGACGATAGGAAGCAGAGGCACATGTCCATTCCTAGTGGCTTTGTAACGAGTCTGGGGAGCGTAAATAATTCGGTGGTCCAATGGCATTCTCCCGACGCGTATTGGCTGGAACAGTTTGGAGTTCGACGCGGACATTATAAGAAAAATTAATGTTGTAGACGGAAGACAGCGCAAGCCGAAGATATAGCTAGTCGACGCGGCGTTCACAACAATCCTACTTCCCTGCACCGATTTAAGTATGTTTTGGCAAAATAATGTTGATCCGACCAAAGTATGGTACACTAACCAGAATGCAGCGATAATAATCGATTTCTGCGATTATCACGAAATTCGGATCAAACTGGGAATACACAAAACAGGCAACGATGCAAGGAACGATGAGAGAGGATGAGAGTCGAGAAAGAGAAAAAGCCACTGCATGTTCGGAAAAGTTGAGAACCTCGAAATCGAATTCTGAAGGATCAAGTCGGGGTTCTGTAGCAAACAATCAACGCATGGAATACGACCAGGTGAGCGAAATTTTGTCGTCAACAGGCAAGTATCGGTTATTTGATTCGATGTATTCGATGTAGAACTTGAAGCATATGTACTGCTTCGGCGAGCGCCGAGATTTTGACATTTGAATTGCGATGCATTTCTCTTTTTGATTTCTTACCTCTCGCGTCTAAAATGGTTCTTTCACGCAAACACACAGGCCACAAGGTTGAAATCGACTCACGAGCCTCTATTACAACAGGCAAAGCCAAAAAGACTTCGAAAAAGAATGCGGTTTTGAAGGAACAGATACAGTCGTTGGGAGGAACTGCAGAAGATTACGAGCTAGTGAGAGATGCAGATGAGGATATGGATTCTGGCTCTATTGCTGTTGATGCAAGTATCACGAAACCTTGCTTTGTTTTCATGCTCTCAATCGACTCCATAGACAGCACTTACAAATGAGGTTTCCAAGTTTTTAGAAGGGTTGAACTTTAACCTTCCCGAACTACCGCAAGAGAGACCCGACCCCAAATCCTCCAAAAAGCTTCCTCCTTCTAAAGCTGAGGTGCCCAGCATTGTGGAGCCTTCCTCAATCCCAAAAATCAAGAAACCTGGTAAAGAACGCACGCGGAAGGATACTCCATCGAAGACGCCTTCTAAGGCTCCCGCTATCGACGCGAAATCCCAGACTGAGCTGGCAAACAAGGTCGTATTCAATCCTGCATCACGTTTTATTGTTCCTCCTGCTTCGCAGTGGTATAATGCCGTCTCGCGTCTGAACGTTGAAACCGCTCTACCGACTATTACCCCTGCTCAACTCAATTCTTTTCATACTCGAGCTGCAGAACTTCATACAGAGGATATGAAGACTTTTACTTCGTCATCCTCCGGCAGCTCTTCTGCGTCAGAAGCATCGTTCCTGTCGAAAATAATACAATCGGGCACTCTTTCTGACCGACTGAGTGCTTTGACTCTGCTGGTTCAGAGTAGCCCCGTGCACAACTTGAAGGCATTGGAGACGCTAAAAGGAATGTCGGAACGAGGTAAAGGACAAGGAGGACGAGAGGAAAGTCTCAAAGCACTCCGATGCGTAGTGGATTGGTGGGTTGGCGGAGGTGCTCCTGAACGCAAACTAAAGTGAGTGTCTTTAACATAGACTAACGAATCTCTTGTCTTATTCGTTCCCTGTCAGGTATTTTCGCGACCAACCACTGCTACATCCTGGTGTTACTGATCAACATTTGGTCCTTTGGTATTTTGAAGACTGGTTAAAAAAATATTTCTTCTCGATCCTCCAAATTTTGGAGAATCTTTCCCTTGATCCTTTACCCTATGTGCGCACTCAGACGCTCAACCTGATCTTTATCTTACTCCGCGATAAACCCGAGCAAGAACAAAACTTACTTCGCCTGCTCGTGAACAAACTTGTAAGATACTCATCAACGCCCTTACTTGATGTATATCTAACATGTGCATTGTCAGGGCGACACAGACAAATCCTTATGCTCTCGAGCTTCATATCACATTCTCCAGCTACTACAGCCACATGCACCCATGAAAGGCGTAGTTGTTCGGGAAATAACTGCGCTAGTCCTCCGGCCTGCTGCACCAACTGCAGCAGCGACAATGTTAGCAGCAGCGGCATTCGCTGCCACAACGTCACAGCTTCATGCGAACATAGCTAGTCGAAAAATCCGTTTCGCTGAAGACGACACACCCGCACCCACTGCTTCTTCAGCTACAGCAAAAAGCAAAGGAAAAGTGGCAACAACGGAGAAAAAGCAGGTCAATGTTCACGCGCGGTACTATGCCACCATAACGTTCAACCAGATAGTTTTGACTCCAGCTGACCGTGATGTGGCTTTGAAATTGATTGACGTTTACTTTGAAATGTTCAAAGAGTTGCTTGGGGAAGGGAAAATTTCCGAAGAGGGCGGCGTTGTCGAAGATGGAGATGAGATAGCAGAAGTCAAGACGGACAAGGACGGAAGAGTGTTTAATGATAAACAAAGTAAAGGAAAAGGAAAGGGCAAAATCAAAGAAATCAAAGGGGCAGCCGGATTCGGGGAAATCGAAGACGAGAATTCAAAGCTCATCTCTGCGATCTTGACTGGAGTGAATCGAGCCTTACCTTTTGCTAAAATCGACGCAAAGGATGTCGGGTAAGTTACTCGAAAAATATGCGTTCAATACTTCTTTACTCTTTTTAGTCTCCTCAAACACATAGATACCCTTTTCCTCATTACCCACAAATCTACCTTCAACATTTCCCTCCAGGCTCTCTTGTTGATTCAGCATATTGCAGCGTCTCTTACCTCTGGACCATCTTCTTCGGCATCCATATCAAAATCCATCGTTGACCGATATCACCGTACTCTTTATGCGTCTTTGCACGATGAGCGGCTTGCATCGTCTTCGAAGCAGGCAATGTATCTGAACTTATTATTCAAATCTATCAAAACTGACGCTGGAAACCTTGAAAATGAGCGGATCAAGGCCCTGATTAAACGATTTGTACAGGTACTCGTAAGTGGGGGTAATGGCGCAACGGAGTTCATTGCAGGAGGATTGTATCTGCTTGGAGAGGTAGTATGATTCTTCAAACTTGGGTGTCAATTGCTTACTCCGTTTCTTAGCTGTTCAGCACCATACCTGGCTTAAGAAGCATGGTCACTGAAGTTGCCAAACAAGAAGAGGAGCCCTACGATTCCCGTAAACGGGACCCTCAATATGCTCACGCTTCTTCATCTCCCCTCTGGGAACTGGTACAGTAGTTTTCGACTCTAACATCTAACATAGACCTGACTGATCATTTCCCCAGACCCCGCTTCTTCACCATTACCATCCTGCAATATCGCTGCATGCTCGACAACTGCTTAGCTCGCAGCCATTGACTGCCAGTGCCGATCTTTCTCTAAACACCCTTTCACACTTCCTCGACCGATTCGTGTATAAAAATGCCAAAAAGATATCTCCCGATGCCACCAAGGGTAAGGGTGTCAGCGCTATGCAGCCTTCTGCTAGCGGGATCGAAGGGGTCAAGCTTATAAAAGGAGAATTAACCACCAGCGGCGACCTTTTGATGAACGAAGAAAAGTTCTTAAAGAGACGGCCGGAGGACGTTCCCGTGGATCAGGTTGGTTCAAGTCACGCCCGTGCGTGGATCAGAGCTGAACTGAATCTATTCAATAGCTATTCTTCCACAAATACTTCACAAGGAAAAATGAACGCGTTAGAGAAAAACATACGAAATCATCAAATGAGGATTCGGAGGTTGATTCCGACGCTGACTCTGATGGCGGAGGAGAAATGGATCTGACAGGAGACGAGGCAGAAATAGCTAGAGATAAAGAAGCTTCGGACGAAGAGGAAGAGGAGGGCAGCGAGCTTGACGAGGAGGAAGTATGGAAGGTATGTTCGAACCATTGTTTTATTATCTTCGAAGGCTCATAGATGCGGGCTTTTCTTTTTCAGGCCATGCAGGCTAGTATGCCAAAAGTTCTTGCAGACGATGACGATCTCATGAATGATTCCGATGTTGATCCCGACGGCGACGACTCGGACGAGCGTAGTTCCCTTAACGATGAGGATCTCCAAGACGAGGATGTGGAAGAGGACTCGGATAACGAGCTCTCTCTTGTAGAAGGCTCTGATAACGAAGATCTCATATCCTTAAACGACGACGGTTTAATTGAGTATGACGGTTCAGATGCTGAAGTTGGCGATGCCGAAGAATGGGATGGAATCGGTATCGATAGTGCGAAGAGCAACAAGCGTAAGAGGAATGATGAAGAGAAAAAGAGAAGGAAGAAACTCAAATCGCTACCAACATTTGCGAGCTACGAGGATTATGCGAAGATGATCGAGGATGGTCCCGAAGATGATATATAATCTATTATTTCTCTCAGTCTTCTACGGGGAATTGACTTCTATTGCACGATCGTCTTTATTGACTAATGATATTTGACGCTCCATCAGACCACTCAATACCTGTGCGATCTTATCTGTCGCCAACTGGCGAGGGAAGAAACCATGTACGCCGAACTCCAGCTTCTGCATATTAGCTAGCGCGGGATGTTGTAGGGCGGCATCGAGGTCGATTTCTGTCAGTCCGCCCTTGGGGAGGATTCGAGTATTTAATGAAAAGATAATATTTTCTAAAAATGGGACAGAAAGCGATCGCACACCGAGTGCTTGTTCATTATGAAGAGCGTGTTGGAGAAAAAGTACCAAATATGGGTCTGGGCGAATGTCGAGAGTGAGACGTTGAAGAGATGGGTTGTTGGCTAGGTTCACACAGTCATGGAAGCGTTTGAACTGTTGAACTGGATTTGGATGTCAGTGAGTGAAAAATAAATTCAAGGTGCCACTCACTAGCTACTTCCGATGGGGGTTTTCTTATCCTGATATTGTTGCTCAACACATCCACATTGAACGTTAGTGAAAGATCAACAAGCGAGCTTCCAGCAGACTCTAGAAACATCCCAATGATACGACATTCCTCTTCCATCTGGTAAAATACATTTGAACGCCAGTGAAATTGACGAAGTGAACGGCATGGCGTAAGCGTTGAAATTCCTTGGAGAGTAGCGACATCTATTGTTGTGATGTCGATGCAATAGAGATTGGGCGGGAGTTGCAGGTTGAGATGATTGGTGGGTTGGCCCATTTCAGATATTGTCGGGAATGGCTGCTGCAAGATGAGATGCAGTCTTTCAAGTAAAGGAAAGGAGCAAATCAATTCAGAAAACTGCCGAAAGTCCGTGAAACTGACATGGCGTAGGTCAAGTTCAGTGACCAAGCGAAAGCCATTATTCAGACTATTTCGAGCCATGTCGTTCAAAGTCCACCACCCGACACGATCGATTGTGAGTCTATGCACATGTGTGAATACGCTCTCTAAAATATGGCCACTTCTCCTAGCGTGAAAGCGCCTTGAGAACCAGGCATTAGCGGCAGTATGGTCCAGAGGACTCCGTTTTAAGCCTATGCGAGTATTTCCAACATTAGATACGCGCAAGGCTCCTATAAATTTGAGCGTCGAAAGAGGATGTTGACACAATTCGGTGAATGTCCGTAGTTTTTGAAATTTGACTCGGGATTCGTCCAATGATAGCTCGAAGTGGTACCTAGACCGAGGGGTCCACGTTCTCGATACGAGAGCAAGGTTGAGGGCGTTTGCCTTTGAGTTCCCACTATGATACAGGGCAAAATCGATGATGTGGTCGACCAGTTCAGTTGGGAGCTCGTTCATTGCGAGCGAAGCGAAGCAGTCAATACCGGCTAGGGTTGAACTCGGACATAACAAATTGTTGTCGCGCAAATTCCCACGGAGTCGGATTAGCCGGGGATGTGTGCGGATGCTACCGGGCCAGCTAGAGGTGCGCCAGCACCAACAAAGCCCCTGCGACTAGAATTTCGAAGCGAGCACCACATGTAAGCGCTCGTTGGGACTGTGAAGGGCCAAATACTCCCCTCAAAGCCAGACGAAGGAGGCTCACATGCGATTGCTTGTTAAAAGACGTGGAACAGGCAGGGACAATCAGAACTGTGACACCTTCAATCTTATCAATCATCGGTTCCGGGATTGGGCGCTTCTCTGGTTCAACCGACAAGTCTGACTCCATATTTATGGTCTTGACGCATTTTTGGCGCCATTTCTTTACCCATGACAGCCTCTCGGCTCCTACTATGCAGTATAAAACAAAGAGGATGCACCCAGGCATCTTATATTCGTCTCGTACGAACCATCCGTAGTCACTCACATCGACTAAAAACCCTCGTTCATCAGTGTAGAATGGCTTCTACGATCAGTCTTACCACCCAAAAGGTCACGATTCCTCATATTCCCGAGCTTTACGACTCCAACTTTCTCGATGTTCTTCTACCACCTTCTAAAGATGATGTTGTTATGGACATCGGTACTCCTACTCCCACTAACGCCATGATGGACGCGCTTCAAGCCACAACTCATCATACTTATACTGAGAATGGTGCCCCTGCTTTGTCTTCCACCGGTTCTCCAACCGTTGATGCGTTCTCCGGCTTGAACTCGTATAGTAACGCGAAAAACCTGGACGTACTCTTGACAAAATCTTGGCAAGAGGATCCTGGCTTGACGCTGCGGCTGATATGGCAATTACGAAGCATTCACGATGGAAAGTCGCAAAAGGAAGGGTTCTACAGGTATGCCTTTACTCCTTAATTCAAGGGCTCATAATACTGAATAAATTTCTTCAGAGCGTTTGGTTGGCTTTACAAAAAGCATCCTCGTACGGCCATCGCGAATTTGCACATGCTCGTTCGTCCTGTTTGTTCGAACAAAAAGCGGCCGGAATTTTCTTTATCTCATGGGTATTGGAAAGACCTGCTCAATATTTTGGCCCTCGCAACCACTGGTGAGCTCGATGCTATGAATGCCACCTTTCTCCATCATCCCCGTAACCCATACACATATCCCCGAGACAAACCCAAAGAGAAACTCACTTCAGAGGCTCACGAACGTCGCAATGCTGAAGCACAGGCTCGTGCTAAGGCTAGACGTACTAGTGTCGGCGAAGAGAGATATGGAATTCTCAAACGACGATTGGAAGATCCGAACTATCGCGCTCTCTATGTCATGGTGACTCGACTTTTCGTGGAACAATTGATCAAGGATATGCGAGTTGTTCGTGAACTTCAGCAGCTTCCACCCAACGAGAATCGTATCCCGTTGCTCAAAAAGCTTTCTCTCGCTGCAAAATGGGCCCCATCCTCTGGCGCATCTCATGACCGTGTAACCAATATATCCACCGCAATCGCACTGCTCTTGCACCATTCACGTTCGCAAATATCCCAACCGTTTCCTTCCGCTCTCTCCACCTTCGATACCGCCCAACTTGCCAATCCGGAGCTTGCCACTGATCAATACACGATACTTCGCTCGTATCTAAATCGTTGGGTCCTCATTCCTATACGCTCCCTTCTCCTGCTTCCTGAGCCGCTCATGTGTTCCAACCGATGGTCTGAAATCCGTTACAATCGTGTAGCCTCTGTGTGTATGAAGAACAATACTGAGCACTTCTTTCAACACGATCCAGACCGATTCCAACAATATTTAATAGATGTTGAAAGCGGGAAGAAGACAATCAGTGGTGCGACGCTACTTCCTCACCAGATTGTCACTGAGGTTGCAAAAATCAATACGATCCTACATAATACGCGTCCAGAATCGTTGAGCAAGTATCCGAAGTTGCAATTATTCAAAAAAGAACTTGCCGAGACAAAGCTGCGTGTATTAGAGGCTCAATGGAAGTCACTCGTCGAGCGGGTGAAAGAGTCTGGTTCTTTAGAGAATTCCCTTGCAATCTGCGATGTATCCGGGTCCATGGGCCCGCTTGCACCGGCAGGATCTACCTCCCGCGATCCCTCTCCAATAGCCCCAGCTATCTCTCTCTCCCTCCTTCTCGCCCAACTCGCCAAACCTCCCTTCAATCAGGGCTTTATCACGTTTTCCGCTTCCCCTAAGTTCGTCACACTTGATCCCTCCTTAGGACTTGCACGCACGATCGAAATCATGAAAGGTTCCGACTGGGGCATGAACACTGATTTCAACGCGGTCTTTCTGAACCTCTTGCTACCGCTTGCTCTGAAGAACAAGATTCCGAAGGAAGAGATGATCAAACAACTCTTTGTGTTTTCTGACATGCAATTCGATGTGGCGCGACACCAATCGTCCGGAAATGCATCAGAGAAAGGCGATGACTGGAAAACAAATCACGACCACATTGCTGATGCCTACGCGAAGGCGGGATACGACATGCCGCGGATTATTTACTGGGATTTGGCTGGGTACGGTACGAGCGAAGTCACGGCTGAGAGGGAAGGGGTAGCGCTGATGAATGGCTTTTCGCCTTCGATGCTGAAGGTGTTCATGGATGAAGAGGACGAGCTGGAGGATGGGTGGGAGAAGGTTGGAAAGACCAAAGATGAGGTTGATTCAGAGAATTTCAACCCGATGAATGTCATGAAGCGATCAGTTATGAAGCCAAGTTTCGATGGCCTTGTGGTTATTGATTGAACCACAGTGGTTGGACGAATATACCCTGCATTTATAAAGAGACTGTATGTATCATATGTAGCACTGTATCATTATCATGAAACCCCTCTCCTATAGTGTTTATAAACCCCCCACTCTCTTGTATCATTACATCTAATCAATCCTACTCCGATTTCGCTTTTTTCATCTCATGATCAGGACTGAAATTGAGGTATTCTATCACAAGGGAAGGTTGGTGTGAAGTCTTTTGAAGTGCTAGGGACTTCGTTCGTAAGCTGGGGTTATCCCGGAATTACGGAGGGTAACCCCCGCCACCTTTTTGTACTGTGGGTCCATTTGTACCTCAAGATATGATAGCATAGAATACAACAACCTCACTTTGTTCTCTTTCGTTCTCCATGAGCTCCATGTCTACCGCACGCGAGCGTCTTGCGCTAGAGTTTCCGGACGAGAGTCCAGATAACGAAGAACTCTGGGAATTCGAAATATTTTGGCGTGACCATTATAACTGGCTCAAGAATCGAGGATACCTTCTTCGACCACGCTACCGTCCGGGCTGGGTCGCATCCTGGGTTGGAACCACAAAGGAAGCATTCAGATGTGAAGACAATCAGGTCCAGCCACTCGTAAGTCTCTCTGTCTTCTACATACACCTCATCCTGACGTTGACATGGCTCTGCTAAGTTTCCATTAAATCTTGACGCTATTCGCGTTGCAGATGGAAAACCTGTTATGCTCAGACGCGCGGACCCCTCATCAATTTCAGACGAACTTGAAATTGGACGTTTAGTATCATCCAAAGAATTTCAATCGGACCCTCAAAATCACTGTGTTCCCATTTACGAATCACTTGAGCTCCCAAAAGCGAATGAAGTAGGCAGAAAATGCATTGTGGTCATGCCTTTTCTTGTGCCTTGGGATGAAGTGGGATTTGTGACTGTAGGAGAAGTCGTCGATTTTTGTGATCAAGTGTTTGAAGTATGCTACTCAATTATCTCAATCATGTTTATGATATATTCTTACCGATTATCGGTTTATCATAGGGTTTGCAGTTCATGCATAAAATGAGTGTGGCACATAAGTAGATCTTCGACAATTTATTCTGTATTTTTCAACCTTTTATATTAACCAGGCTTTTACAGTGATGCCAAAACGACCAACATTATGATGGAGTGGTCACCTTTATATCCTAATCCCCCGCATGCTATGGACTCCTCCATGAGAATGGATTGGGAGGGTCCATCTAAGCCCCGCAACCGCACACTCTGTCCTGTCAAATACCATTTGATTGATTGGGACTTGTCGAAGCAATATGATACCACCCGAGGTGTTACACTACGAATGCCGGGTTACGGTGGTGATCAATCAGTTCCCGAATTCAAACGGAAAGAACCATGTAATCCTTTCTCAGTGGACGTATATTGTTTGGGGAATGTCATTCGACAGAAATTCATTGAGGTACATTCCATGTTATCAATGATAGGGAGCCAATTTATCTATTTTGCACAGGGAGACCCATTAGCGCGCGACCCCCCAAGACGAAATGTCGAATTTTTGCGAGAGCTGATTTTCGATATGACCCATGATGACCCTCAAAAACGACCCACGATGGATGAAGTTGTTGCACGTTTTGATAAAATTCGCAAGGGACTGAGCTGGTGGAAATTGCGATCAAGAGTATCGGACAGAACAATACCTCTTATTTTCCACCTTCTCTATTCACCTATACATTGGAGTATCCAGCTCACTTATATCCTTCGACGAATACCAGCAATACCAGATTGTTACCACTCATGTTGAAAGTTTGTCCAGTGGTATTTAATACTATACTTATTCTGGAATCTTGTGGTTGCCCCTTTATAATTAGCTTTGAATTTTTGTTTGGTACATTAGTGCAGCATTAGTGTCATACACTGTCATAGAACCCATCGGAGGTAATTAATAAAGTGTTATGTATCATCATTCGACTGGTTGTAAATTCTCAATGGCACGGAGACAATGAAAGCAAATACGAAAGTCCTTTCGTCAGTCAAGTTTACAAGGCCTAGGAAAACTTATTGCTCGAATTGAAGAGGCAGTTTTCTCAATTGTATAAAGTTCTATGGTGCAGTTGGCTTAGTCACCACTAGTTTTGAACAAGCGGACTGACACACTCAAATTTCAGTATTTTTCTTATCTCTCTTACAGAAAGGCTTATAATAGATACAGAAAGAGAACTGTAAGAGCAATTTCTCTCAAAGTAAAAATTGCCAAAGTAAGCTACACATGAATGGCGCACTTCCTAATTGGGAAGTGATTAGGGTTAGGGTTACCACACTCTACTGCACTAAGGGTCAGCTAAGGGTGTCTCAATGTCAGCTCAATGCTCCCTTTTGTCCATTCTGATAACAGGATATATCATCTATACATTGCATCGGGGTGCCAGGGACTCTAGAATACATCAATGAGCTTTATTCCTCTCGGAAATGCACATAAAACACCTAAATCGCATCTATAATTTTCAAAATTTTTTCCAAACCCCGAATGGCGCCTGTCCCAAATAGGTGGTGACTAATCCAACTGCACCATAACTTAGGAAAGAATGAGGCTACCATGGACATCCTTTTCGAATGATCTACATCTCTACATTTTATTTTCGTGGTTTGCTAAATTACCGCACCAGGCTATCAGGAGATCCAACAAGTAATAATGGCATTAACACACTTGTTGTGCTTAGACTACAATAAATGTCAATCGCGGTTGGAATTTATACATCAATGTTTGTGAAAATGAGCATCCTCTTGGGAATAAATATTGTTACCTTCGACTTGCTTGAATCTTGTTTGTTCGAGCTGTTGCTGTTTAACATAGGCGTAGTGGTATCACTAGCAGAGCTCTGAGATACTTCTGGTGACTCTTTAATGTGTCAATGAAAAGTAAACGAGCTCTCTACAGATATTAGACTCACAATAACTACCCTCTTATCAATGGTGACTTGATTCAGAAGATACCCTATATTATCATCCCATCGAAAGATATTCGCCCAACCTTGCCCTTTCTCTTCGATACATCTCTCCAGTTTCTCCAACTCAACATTGTATCTGTAGCACAACAGTGTTTAGCAAACCATGTAAACAAGGATAAGAGCTTGCGAGAACTGGAAAGAATATTGGGCTAAAGCTAGGTAAACAGTTTACCTACTTTCTGCATAATTGGCAGAGCGAATGAAACTCGTTCTTGTGCGCAGGGGTATCAGACTGAATGACCAAGTCCCGAACCGCTTCAAGAGCCTTGGGCATATCATCTAGATTGCTAGATGTGAAAGCTAACTTTTGCTCTCAAGTTTCTGGCAGCAGGTTCTTGAAGATATTTATGGACTCTGGTCATTCATCGAAATCGCAGATAGCAGTCACAGGTGACGATGACGGCGATGGCGGAGTGGCTTACAATTATTTGGCCTCTTCTTATAGTACTCGAAGAGGCTGGTGAATATGGGTTTCACTGTTCTCCGAACATTTCCGTGACAATCCTCGATAGTCTTTGATGACAGAGGGGCTATTCGGTCCACCAAAAAAAAGTGGCATTGTAAGATAGAAGAGAGCAGTTCAAGTTCGTGAACGTTTAGGCGATCTTCCCACAGTGACCATGGTGACTGTGGGTGTTTATAAGTTAGTGACTTTATACTTTTGGGCAATACCATGTAACGACTTACTTCAAGCCAACCTCACTTTGTTCACTTTTGTCCTCCATGTCTACCGCACGCGAGCGTCTTGCACTAGAATTTCCGGACGAGAGTCCGTACAACGAAGAACTCTGGGATTTCGAGATATTTTGGCGCGACCATTACGACTGGCTCAAGGATCGAGGATATCTCCTTCGTCCACGCTACCGTCCGGGTTGGGTAGCATCCTGGATTGGAACCACGAAGGAAGCACCTAGGTGTGAAGATAATCTGGTTCAGCCACTCGTAAGTGTCTCTGTCTTATAGACTCGGCTTGACGTTATCATGACTGTTCTTAGTTTCCATTAAATCTTGACGCTATTCGCGTTGCAGATGGAAAACCTGTTATGCTCAGACGCGCGGACCCTCCATCAATTTCGAACGAACTTGAAATTGGACGTTTACTATCATCTAGAGAGTCACTATCTGACCATTGAAATCACTGCGTTCCCATCTACGAATCTATCGAACTTCCAAACGCGAATGAAGAGGGCAGGAGATGCATCGTTGTCATGCCGCTCCTTGTTCCTTGGGAAGAAGTTGAATTTGAGACTGTAGGAGAAGTGGTTGATTTTTGCGGTCAAGTTTTCGAAGTATGCCATATTAACTCTATGTGTATAACGTGCTCTTATTAATTTTCAACTGATAGGGCTTGCAGTTCATGCACAAAATGAATGTGGCGCACAAGTAAATTCCCAATTTATTGCGTCTCTGCTTTTACCCATGCTTTGTGTAGTGATGCCAAGGCAAACAATATTATGATGGACTGGTCGCCTTTATATCCCACTCCCCCGCATGCTCTGAGAACTTCCATGAGAATGGACTGGAAGGGACCATCAAAACCCCGCAACCGCACACTCTGTCCTATCAAATACCATTTCATCGATTGGGACTTGTCAAAGCAATATGATACCCGGGGTGTTACACTACGAATGCCGGGCTATGGTGGTGATCAGTCAGTTCCCGAGTTCAGAAGGAAAGAGCCATGTAATCCATTTGCAGTGGATGTGTATTGTTTGGGGAATGTTATTCGACAGAAGTTTATTGAGGTGCATTCATTCTATGCTGTTCGTGATTTGAAGCTAGATTTATTTATCTTTTGCACAGGGAGACCCGATACTGTACGACCCGCCAAGACGAAATGTCGAATTTCTGCAAGAGCTTGTTTTCGATATGACCCATGATGACCCCAAGAAACGACCTACGATGGATGAAGTCGTTGCACGTTTTGATAAAATTCGCAAGGGACTGAGCTGGTGGAAATTGCGATCGAGGGTATCGGACAAAACAATACCTTTCATTTTCCACCTTCTCTATTCACCTATACATTGGAGTATTCAGCTCACTTATATCCTTCGAAGAATACCGGCGGTACCAAATTATACTGTTCATGGTGAACATTCTGGTGCCTAGTGCCATGACCCATTCTCAAATTTGGTGTAACACCTCCGCTAGCTTTTGTCTGGTATATTATGACACAGACTTTTATTTTGTCCCAACGTAAACGTGAATTGCTAATGCAACGTTGTGTCGTCTCAATCATGGTACACCCGAAAAGTTGCCTATCGCAATGTTGGCGCAAATTCCGGAAAGACTCTGAGTACGCTCAGAATGACCATTTTAAGATTCCGAAAGAATGCAACTTGTGCAACTTGCACATATCGAAGATTCATTAAAACCTTGATAGATGATGTGTAAAAGTGGAAACTATAACAGTGTACCAGTCAGTACTGTGACATCAAGGTGGCAGGGTCCAAGGACATAAAGTCCGATTATGACTGAAGAAGGTCCAATAATGATAAGGGGTTGAACGAAGGAGATTGAGTTGAGTATCTGAGCAGCTAGCATCGAAACAGATTCGTGGTCGTGGTCTTGGTTGCTAATTGCGTGATGATCAGACTATAAAGTGACCATTGATTGCTATTGAGGTTGGTATTTTCAGTTCCAGGAATTTTGAATGAAGGAAGTAGCATCAATTATAGATATCAACTTTCCGATGTGAGGATACACAAATCTGCCAAATGAAAGAACACCTTGATAAGTAGATAGTTATAGATTTCCACTGTAATCCTAGAACCCTGTACATTCTTGATTAGTCAACGCGCTTCAAGCTATAAATATAAAAGGGTCTCACCTGGAGATTCATTAGCCTACGACCTACGCTTAACCACTCTTGACAACCTTCGCTTAGAGCCAACAAATCCACTGCTATTCACATCCTGATTTCCATTTCCAACTCCATTTGTATTGGCTGAACCGGTATTCGTAGGAGCCGCGCTTTCGGTGATTGTACTCGTTATAGTAGTTGTCACAGGTCCAATTGCGCCTCCAGGCTGGGTAGCGGACTGAATAACCGTCGTGAGCGTCGTCGTGATTGTAGCTGTAGCTGAGCCAGCAGTATTTGTGCTGGCGCCTTGGACTGCTTGGCTATCCGTCGAAGCAGACGAAGATGAACTGACAGTGCTCAAAGTATGCGATTTATGGCTCGTCCCACCCACGGCACCACCGATGACAGCGGCGATAATGACGATGGCAAGAATGGCGATAATAATGATACCCTTTCGCGTGCGATAGAAGGGTGTTTTTGGTAGAGCACTGGGATTATGTAGATTGGAATTTGGAGGGTATTCCTTCGAGGTCAAGTCATTGGCGCTACCGCCTACTACTGGTGCTGATGAGGCATTTGATTTCTTCTGCTCCTGGTCAAGAATATAAGGGTTGTACCCTTCCTGCCTCATCTCCCTCGTCGCCTGAGGCGCGGCAGCAAGCAAAGAAGAGTCGTACGACATTTTCGCCTAAAAACTGAAGTGAACTCGGATGCGTTCACGGAATTGAATAAAGTGACGGTAATCAATGGTCGGCGATGCGTGTTGGTGATGACTGACTCGATGCGCCCACGTCCAATGCGAGAACGATTAGAAAAGGGGGGTGAGGGTAAGAGAGGCGAAAGAGAGGTGGAAAGCCAGCTGATACCATGAAACACAGCCTTCCTTGAAGTTTCGTTCTTTTCCGATGTCGCCTCTTGTGTCAGCGCCTATGGACTTGTCAGATGTCAGCCGTTAGATTCCCTCTCATCTTGTCATTTCGCCGGGACTCGTCTATAGTCATTGACGCGAAAATGACAACGTCGGGCAAACAATTATAAAGCTGTAAAAAGAGATGCGCTGAATACGCTGAGCAGAGAATCAGTGAGACCTTGGAAGTAGCTGCGAAAGGTGTACAAAAAACAACTGGGGGTACCGCGGATCGAACGCGGGACCTTCAGAACTTCAGTCTGCTGCTCTCCCAGCTGAGCTATACCCCCGTATACAATAGCTTCCAGCCATATCTACAGTAGGTGACCAGTATTTACCCAGTCATAGTATTTATGTACTCACTCCTTCTTCATCTTCGCATTCAATTTCGACTCTGTGATATCTTTACCATCGCCCTCACCTCTTCTAAGGGGAGTCCCACCGCTTACAAGTGAGAACGATAGACTTCCCGCAAACACCATGCATGCCCCAATCGCAAGTTCAGCATTCCAACCACTACCGAACCACCACACGCTAAAGCACAAACTGATTGCTTTCCTCGTGGTTAGAACTAAGTTGGTGGAAACGGACGAGACACGCTTTTTACAAATTTGGAAAAAGATATTGGTTAGTGGAAATAAAGACGGAAGCAGCGAAACGCAACTCACGGATGTTAGTTTGTTAACCCCGGATACACAAATAAGCTGAGAGACGAGGTTACCAGCGAGGATAAGCCATGAAACAAAGACAGAGCCGGGCACAGGTCCAGATACGGAAGATCCGGGGCGGTTGAGACTCGCAAGGCCCTGCTTGACATCTCGAGCTAAAAAGAGGAAAACTGGGAGAGAAAGTAGGTGCTAAATAAATAGTATCATCGGCTGTTTAGCAAGTTTCTTTTGAGCACGACAGAAAGAAACAGAAAGACGCCTGAAGAGGAACCTCCAAAAGCCGATACCAATATTCACCGTATAGAATACTCCCTCTTTCCAACATGGCCCGTACTTCTTATACGTCTGCTCTTGAAGCACACCAAGAATTCCAGTCAATAATAACGATGTCACAATCATCACAATTCCTAAAGCATAGCGTTGCGTATCTACTGGATCCGCCGTCGAAGATGCGACTGATGATTTGGATAAAGTGGCCAGTATAGCCCCAAAGGATACTACGAGCACAGAGATCTATATGGTGCACAGCAAGATGAGTTGCTTTAAAGAAGTAGGAGAGGTGTCAGACAGACAGACCACTTGTATAGCTGAATAGCGCCTTCCGAGAACGGAGTATCCGAGGATCATAGAGACAGCAAGCCCTTACACCAAAACATGGTTAGAATTCCTCCAGAGTGACGATTCCCATTCAGCTCACCAGCAGATCGAAAGACAATCAATACCGTCAGCGGAACATTAAACGCAAATGCCCAATTGTTCAATAACGATCCGGTGGTGTGTACGAGCACTTGCGACGCCCATTGTATCAAGGGTACCTGTCGTGATCTGAGTCGAGGTAGCCAATTCTTTCTTCCGGTATCTTCTTTTCCAGATATTGATGGCGAGCTGAATGTGATGAATCCGGGCAACGACTGCAAAGTGATGAACATCATTTGCGAAAAGGTCAAAGCGGAACCTATATCGGAAGGCAAATAAGTGCACTTCACAAAAAGTAAAGAGAATATCACTTACCAATGCGAGGGTTCATGATAAGCAACTGCTCGTAAGACCATACATTCCTGATATCCAACCAGAAGGGAATCTCAACAACGCCATCATTCTACTAATCAATACCAACTCACGCGCAACAGCCGCCAAGGACGAGGGAAAGGATCTACTTGGGTAAACAGGGTGAATCTTGTATTCCAATTCTGTGCATATATACCACCAACCGCAGAATAATCTAACAGAACAGAGCCCGCTTGAGTAAGAGTGACTCCAGGATCAACTTGTGCTGAATTCGACTTGGTATGGACATTATTGCCATTCGTGAGCTGCGATGAGCCATTGGATTTATTTGAAGAGTTTGTGCCCATGACCGGACTCACAGCCAGATGGAGAAGGCAAAAAGAGAATAAAAAAGGCTTCAAGCCTGCTATGACACGTCGATGCTAGTGAAAGGGCGCGTAAGAGTTGAATACCGTGAGACACCGTGGGTACGACACTCGGTTATACTTTTGCCTTTTACCACCCGTTTACCATCTTCCTACCATCTACCACCAATCACACCGCATCGTCGAGACCGGATTATCCGGGTTACAATCATAAACTACACCGGCTTCACTTTCAAAATACCTTTCAATATGGCATCATCATCGGCAGCAACCTTTCCTTCTTCACCATCTTTGGGCCTTTGTCCAGGGTATAGACACGTCGAACAATTTGGGCCAGATGAGGAATATGAAGACGAAGTAGAAGATTTCTACGTGACACTGGACTTGGGAGCCGTAGAACCTACGTTAATACCGAGTTCATCTACATATCGCCTCATCGTGAGTCACTCAAATTCTGAACGTCGGCAAGTAAAAACTCAGTTTTTCCTTGCAGGGATTAGATACACCGACACCATTCATGCAACTGTCGGGTACAGTGCTGCAAGGACGACACGAATCCTTGCTAGGGACGGAGCTACTTTTCGTTGAAGGGAAAGGTACGTGAAGCTTTGCATTGAACTCTTGACCGAAAGTTGACGTGATCTATCTTGTAGCAGACGCGCAGGACCGAAGTAAACGACACCTATCATTCACGTCAACTACGGAGCAAAGAATTCGTTTCAAAGAAGTCCAACTTCGACCTAAGGTTCCTGCTGGAGTTGACTCCGCTGTAATTGATCGGACTCTAGAGCGGAAAGAATCTGAACCAGCTACTTCTACCCAAAAGGATCACGAAACCGCACCGCGTAAGAGGAAATCGAAGAAGGCAAATGAAACACCTTCCGCTACTGGAAGGGCTGCATACACAAAGTCGACGAAAAAAGACAAGGGTAAGGCAAAGGAGGCAATAGAAGATGAGTACATGCCAGGAGACGACAGCGACGACCGTGGGGCGAGTAGTAGTCACATTGATCCTGGAGCTGGAGGTGCACAGCCAATGTATGATTAAGAATAATCCCGTACAATCCTCCAGAGATCATTCCCTGTATCAACTTACCCACTTTCCGCGTTGACATCCTGCTCACAAAAAGCTATTCAGACAGAACGCAGGGAAGAACTAATGCAATTCCGTGGGTGTATGATTCCAGACGTCTTTTCATGCAGCCTTTGACCGCTCCTCTGTCCAGGCATCTTGATACGTTTCTTGACAATTTCCGAGTGGAATGTGTGTGACAACTCGCAAAAACGAAAAAGATGATATATCTAAGGTTAGTCCTTATATGGCTTTAATCAAGCCCCGTGCTTAGTTGATCCCTCTATATTTCGTGACAGGGCAGACGATGTGCTCAATGTAAGCCGTCTGTTATTCTGGTTCCTAACGTCATAGTCCTTTGTACCAGTATTAAGGTTCCGGCTTTTCTTCCACCATGCAAACGACGAACGGGCGGTGCAAGCTTGGAAGTTTCCCGAGCAAAGTTTCAAGCCTCGCCATTCTTGCTCATAGGAATTTTTCAACCACGGCTTTACAAGTCCTCTGTGCTCTGTACATCAAAAGGTTTCTTGGACACATCATATTTGAATCAAGGGCTTTGCCGCTTTTGAAGCGTCCCAATCCCACTGTGGTGTTTTTGCTGTGAACGGTACCTATTCTGAGCTCTGACTTCGGATTGGTGCTATGAATGTCTTTCGGACCCTGAGCAGATGCATTTCTATCTCTCCCATGATGAACAATCAGATATCTGTTCCTGGTCTTCTTTCCTCCATTTCTCTTTCATATCTTTCATATCTTCTGTCCATTTTCTGTCTAACCTCTGCCTTTTCCCTGCCTACTCACCTTCTTTTTCATCTCATCATCGAGCGCTTAGGTAAAAGGTCGACTTTTTTCTTGTTCTGTGAACATCACTTTAACAAGATTGACATCATTGAACGGAACTGAGAGCAGGATGAACCTTTGATGATTGTCTTATCTACGCTATTCTTAAGAAGAAAGAGGTCATGCGGTTCTAGGTTCCAGGTTCTGCTGTTCATCGTGCCTGCTAGTAATTTGCTAGCAAGAATTATCTTCTTCTCTGGACCACAATGCTGAGAACGATAGAAATGATACTTTTCCTTTGGATATTGGTTTTATCTCAGTTAGTGTGGGGTGCAATGGTTCGGGTATTTGATTTTCACTACGAAACGTGCTGTATTCCTCACGATGTTCTATTAGGTGGCTGTTGACGAGGTTGAAGAGACTTCACCAACGATAAACAACACTGCCATAAACTCACCTGTACCCGTTACTGGTTCTATTTCTCTTGTGACAACTTCTGCTATCGGAACCGCCCAAGGCCCAAGCAGTGATATAAGTACGGGTAGCCTTAATTCAGATAACTTCCAACTGGCATCCATCATTGGCGAATCAGTTGGAGGCGCGGTGGCTCTGGGAGGATTCATTGTCATTACATTGATACTCAGGAGAACTGCTCGCCAACTGGGGTGGCCAGGAAACTCTCCTCGGCATGACTTGGAGAGGGGTCATGGTGGTTACGGAACTGGGGACCCCGGACGTAAGAAGCCTTCGCCCCTGAGCTTGGGCAAACAGAGAGCTACAGATCCAGGAGGCGGCGACCAGGAGTTTATGCTGCAGACCCTGGATTATGGATTCGATGACAGCCGCGGAAGCAGGAACCAGTATACCTCTAATCCAGATACGCCTTTTGAAGTGGGCTTGTCAAGTCGGGCTAGAACGGGTCCTCGACCTAATCCTCGTTTACTGTATCCGTCGAATCTTTCAGGAAGAGAATCTGAACGGTCGTCGAATATCGACATCAATGCACTTGCAAAGGAGGTTGCAAAGATTCTCATGCAGCCACCCGCGGCCCCTTCATCGATAGCGGGAGACACGATCCAAGTAGATGACTGGAGTGAGCAACAAATGTTGAAAGGAGACAGAGGGCGCCAAGACGGTACTTGTTCTGGCGTCATTGACGACATGAGTCGGGACACACACTCGCCCGCGCCGCCCTTGTATCAAAGTTGCCAATCCATTCACAACATGAAATTTCGATCTATGCTCTAGGATAGGCATGTGTCTAGATTGTTCCAGCTAGAAACAGCTAGAACATCACCGGCAACTTACTGGCTTCCGCTTTACTAGCACACTCGAGTTCTCGCGCTAAATGCTACATTGCAGATTGTAGCAACTTCTAGAATAATTTTGGACTATGCATGTTAGTGGTAAATTATGCTGCGTACTCTTCCGTTTTCGGGGAACGCGTTTGTCCTTGCCCGTTAAATCACAGATTGATTGTGCTATTGTACGTTACAGAACTCAGGATTCCATGTTTATTCTTGTAGGATGTGTCCCGTAACAGTAACAAAAAGATCCGGGCCCGTACGTCCAGTTTGATAAATGTTCCGATCCTTTGTCCACTAGAGTGGATTTCATCCTCAGTTCAGGCCTACATCCGCTAACGCGACTTCAAGTCCGGACTGTTCTATCTCCGCACTCTTGCTTCGCTCTGCTTCGAGGAAGGAGAACGGGTTCATACTAGAAGCATCCCAGTACTTACTCAAGAATTCTACGGAAGGGTATTTTCACAGGCTTCCGTTGACCTTTTCGGAGTCCGTTACCTGCCCATAATATCAAGCGCCCGTGCAGGCACCAGCGTTTAGCTTCATTGCATTTGTTTTTTGCGTCCTTGCTCTCTTTCGACGTCTTCCGTCAGTCTTTGCCTCTGTATATTTCCACAGGCACCTCTTGTAGCCTCCTATATTTCAGGTCTTACAGGTTACAGCTTAGCCACTTTCTCTTTCCCTATTTGTACCTACCACGTTCCTATGTTTTCTGCTTTTTTGGTTTGACTTGTACAATTTGTAAAGGCAATACATTATTATGACCTGATTTTCATACAAGCAAGGTGGATGTCCCTGGAGGGGTACAGTTCATTTCTTTTGGTTACCACGATACATAAGGAGATAATTTTACGTCACTTGAAAAGCAGCCTTCTTTTCTCATACGTTGAACTTGATAACCTGGTCTCGCTGGACGAAAAGTTACCGTTCTCTATTGTTTGCCGCTTAATTCTCTTTCGTTCTTCATTTTATAGGCGCAATGGTTGACAAAAGAGAGAATGATGAAAAGAGAAGGAAGAAGAATGATAGTGAACCTGGCTTGGACGCTGGGTATTTTACTGGATACGAGACGGATGCTACATCTACCAGGACTAAACTGAAGAAGAAGAAAACAAAGATAAAAAAGGTGTCCGGGGATGGCTACGAAACGGACGATGGTAGCAGTCATCCCCCTCTGCGTAAATCCAAATCAAAATCGCGTTTCTTCAAATTGGGGAATAGGTCGAAGCCAAATGTCGATGAGGACGAATCAACACAGGCACCTGCTGAAGTTCCTCCTCCTCCTCCTTTGCCAGCACCTGCGTTTCGTCTTCCTATCGCTGCCATGTTTGCTACGACGTTGAACTTGAATGTTGAGAACGCCGTACTTGAACCTCCAATTGGCCCTCTTGGATTCTCCAGACCTCAAAGTCCAACCGTCGCGTCCATGTCCCCTTCTTTGGCATCATCTGAATCTGCTACAATACTACAGAATCAGAAGAACGGGTATGATGTAGAATCGCTCGTTGGTGTCCATGAGCCGTCCATAATGGCTGTCAATACTACTAGTAGCAGCCCAAGCAAACGCACTATCATTCGTTTCGCTAGCGACAGCAGTGATAATCATGGGACCACCAGTTCGAGCAACGGTCATTCATTCCTCTCCAGGCTCACAAATGTCTCTTCGAGCTCAGCGTCGACCACGGGGTCGGTGACTTCTCCAAATTTGAAGTCATTAAACATCTCGTATCCTCTCACGCGTTCGCCTTCTCCGCCTTCTCCTCCTTTCAAAACTCAGCCTATGGTTGCTCCAACGTCTGGCCTCGACAGGTCAAACACGAAACGCGCACCACGACCGCTCTTTTTAAATCGTATACCCTCAAGTCAGAAAAAATCCACTTCCAACTCCGGTGACAATTCGCCTTCTGATTGGTCCCCTGCGGGCTCTCCATTTGTGGTATTGACTCCCAATCCAGCTAGTTCTTCAGCTTCCGGTGGTCGGCCAGGTATTTCCTACCATGACTTCCGTGGTACACCAAATTAACTTCTCACTAGGAATGACTTCTGCAACTTCTGGGAGCACAAACAGCGCCAACACCGTCACTCGTTTACATATACCTTCTCCCCTGCTTTTACGTGCTCGCGACTTATCTCCTGCGGGCTCTTACAGAGATATCATGCCTTCCACAGACTTCGTAGTTCCCTCCCCTTCAAATGATGTTTTCGTGCCTCCCAACAGTCTAGGCCATTATGATATTCCTCCGCCCAGCCCTCCACCCACCGTCCCTCTTCCTGATGTACCGACTAATCCTGAACAGTGGCGTGGTCGAGGCCAGGGCTCTGAGGCTGGACATCAGCCTCACCTTACTGTCGACCCTTCTATTCGATCTTCTTCACCTTCTAATCCGCCTCAGCGTGGCCGAGTTTCACCTTTTCCAACTCGGCCTGTTCAGTCGAATGGAATTGCCACTGTACACACAGTTCCGAGCCGTGGATTCGAGAGTCGAGTGCGCGTGAACAGATATCGAGGGATATATGCTATGCCACCGCCTGCTGGTGGGTGGAAAAATAACTTTTCCAAAGATTCTGGGTACGCTTCCAGCCCTGAGGCATCTAGTTCCAAGCGCCATGCTCGAAAAAGCACGAATGTCGGGATTCACATTGAACAGCCTAGCGATAGCGAAGATGATCCTGGTTCTGATGCAGACTTGAGGAATGTCATACAAGGATTCACGGACGGTGGACGGAGTGCTTCTGCGACGGGCCATGAACGTGATGTTGAGCCAGAGGCAGCTCTAGACCGTCGAAGGTCATTAGAGGCTCTGCAAAACTACTATAATTCCTACGACATCGGCTCAACACGGAAAAAGAGTCCTACCCGCCAAATTTCTCCTCGGCCTTCATTTAGCCGTTCCGCGTCCGAGGAAGACTTATCCGACGACAGGTCTCGGTACACTTCGGACGACAAACACTCCATGTACAAGACAAACAACGCAAGCCAGGCGCGAAGTCTTGCAAGCGGGTGGGCTGACGACCATCGGTGGAGTATGAGTGTCGACGGCGAAAGTCGAGCGAGCTTCATGGATGCTGAAAAAAGTGACGAAGCTCGGGAACGTTTCATCAGACGGATTGAGGGAATGTTTGATCAGAATGGGAGAGAGCTTCCACCCAATCTTGGCACTGGCAGAAATGCAATCATTCCTCCTGTACCAAAACTTCCTCAGGGATTGCAGGGCAGTTCGTCGAAAACTTGGATTTGAATATTTTGATTCTGTCCATGTAGGGGAGCCGTTGTCTTCGTCTTATCGCATGGTCTTTCTTGGACGAATCCCCACACTTACTTTGGTTCATATATTGTCATTCTTTGGTCTAGCGTCGTTCTTTCTTTTGCTTGCTCTGATCTTGTTGTATTTTCTTACGCTCTTTCCTTCGATGCGTATATACCGTCATCATCCTCATGTATCATTCTTTTTTCATCTTATACCAGCCATATATTTACAAGCTAACATCCCTGCTAGCCAGCTTTATTCACGCTTGTCTTGTCTTGCATGAGAATTTTGTCGAGCTCATAATTCTCTTCATACACTACTTTTGTACTTATACCCCCAATTATGTAGAATTAGACCTTTTACTCAGTTGGCATGCGTCTTTTAGATTCTGGCAATAGCCTGAGTACATATGACGACAGAAGACTATTGTGAATTCAAGGTAACACTTGAAGCTTGAAGGTCGAGTCAAGTGGGGCTGAGCCAAGTGGTCATTGGTAGTACAGAGTTGAAGATATGTGAAATGTACAAAATTTAATTCAATGAGAGCATCGTCCACATAGATCCTGACACTGCTCGAGTTTGGAATCACATCATAAAGCGCCTGAACAAATACCCTCCACCCATTCCGTATCACTTCGTACAGTCGTAAGGTTGTCATATCCATCTTCTGTAATAAGGACGACATCCTCAATCCGCACTCCCCCGACACTTTCGTATTTCTTCAGTACCTCTTGATCGATGTGTTTTGAGTCACGAACAGGAGCTATGAGATGGGGTGAGAAGTAGCACCCCGGCTCCACGGTCTATGCGATGAGAGCGTAAGCTTTGATATATGTAAGATGATATTGGGTACCTACCACAACCATATTCTTCTGTAATGGCAGCCTCAGCCTCAAATATGTGTAGAAACTTTCGTGCCCAATTGGAACGCCTTTGTTCAGTGTTGTATTAGGAATGGGTTTGCTGGCGCTCGGTACGTCATGCACATCCATACCCAGGCTGTGACCCAGACCATGAGGGAAGAACGCCGAGCTGATGCCCGAAGCAAGAATTTTCTCCTCGTCATGTTCGGGGTCCCAAGTATCATCACCAGCGGGTGCGGTTGAGGAAATGGCTGAAGGAGAGGGTGACTTGAAGATACCTAGGCGTTGAAAACCTTTGACGAGGATTCGGTGGCACATGAGTTGTATTGCATCCCAATGTATTCCAGGTTTGATCATGTCCATCGCTACCTGTCATGTTTATTCCTAATTTTGAACATTGGATTTGAAGGATAGTAAAATAAAGCACGACCTTCTGCATTTCCAGAACCAATTCATAAATTGCCCGTGCCTCTGGGGTAAACTTTCCTCCATTACCAACAGGCATTGTACCTATTGATGTGGTACAGGCAGCGAATCAGTGTACAATATTTGCTGCCAAAGTCCATTCTAATTAGGAAATGCTTACGGGTAATATCGGATGCATAGCAATTCCATTCGCAGCCAGCGTCGATGAGCAGGACCTGCGGATTCAGCTGGCGCGCACCTCCGTGGGCGAATTCGTTGCGATTTTGATGATCGTGTGGTTGTACGGGTCCCCATGCGAATTCACGATCGTTGCAGCAATAGTGGAGCGTGGAAGCACGCGTAGTCGCTGCCACGATAGGCAAATAAGCTTGGTGAACGGCACTGCACAAATATCAATTCAAATTTTATGCAGACATGATTTCAAGCTGCATACCCTTCTCTCCGACAAGAAGCGACAAATATAGCTTCAGCTTCAGCTTCCTTCTCGATAAGCCATTCGCCTGGGAGTAATGGTCGATCTACGCCTGCCCCGGGACCACGCTCGATAGCTCCTTTGACAGCCTTCCCCAGAACCCGCATGACCACTTCATGAGCTCGCGAGCTGATCTCGTTGGCTTTACGAATCAAAGAAATCTCATGTTCATCTTTGAAGAGTCGGGCTTGGTGTAAGGCTGGAAGGAGGAACAAGTCACTAATAGCAGCATTCTTACTATCGGATGACATCACAAGGTCGGTAAATTCTGGTGGGATGGCAGGAAATAGAGGAGACCCTCGAGGAAGAGTGTGGAACAATGCATCAGGAAAAGCCTTCAGTAATGTCCTGATAGCATCTGGAATGGCCCCAGGATGATCTATCTTTGTTACGTCGTGTGTCCGGCTCGCAGCCTCCAGAGAGGGAGGTGGAACAGACCACATCATATCGGCGAGTTCAGCCTTTGGAATGAACAGCTCGACTGAAGGTTTCTGGGAAAGGCCAGTACCATCCTGGAAGGCTATGAGAAGATATGAAGATGGGACGATACATCCTGAAAGATAAAAGAAATTGGATTCTTGTCGGAAAACTTGCTCCCTGCAGCGATGAACCGGTCAGCCCCAGTCGCCAAATTCCGCGATTAAGTAGTGAACCTATCTGTGTCATTTCTAAAAGGCGTAACTTCTCCTGCTAACAGTAGAATTTGTGGCTGAAAGACTGATCAGTAACATTGTTCAACAACGTAAGCTCGCATGTGTACTTGAGCCTTTTCGGTAGTGGGAAGGAGCTTCAACAGTTCGCGGAATGTCGTGAGGACATGAGCGCTTGCTGTGACTTTGTCAGAGAATAGTTTGAGATATAGTGCTTTGAAATATAATGACCGGGATAGACCATGTCTAGTATATGAAAGGTTGAAGCTTAAGTAAGTTTTACGAGGGGGGTGATTGACCTTGTTTGGACTTGTAATCAAATTTTTGAACTCATACCGCCACACATACATGACATCCGCTTCCATTTCCAAAGCCGAGAAGTCCTATATTCAAGCTGGACTACTGACAAGTCCTCCTCGCAGAGCCGATGGACGATCTCTCCACGATTTTCGAGCGATATACCTGGAAACTGGTGTAGCTCCTCTTTCAAACGGCAGCGCTCGTCTCAGTATTGGCCGAAATCCTCTTGATGGCAGCGGTGGGACTGAGGTATTGGCTGCTGTGAAGCTTGAAGTTGAAAACATCGAAGAACAAACCTTGGATGGGGGTCGCATTGCTTGCAATGTATCTTGGTACGTTTTCTCACTATTCGTCAATATTACAAACTGAATGTCGTGAAGAAAGTTCTCCTTCAGCATATCCCCATCTCTCTTCGGGTGCTTTAGACGACCTCCAACACGATTTGACAACCGTTCTGCACCAAACACTTTCTCATCCGTCTCTACATCCAAAAAACCTTGGTATCATACCTCGCAAAAAGTCATGGCTACTCAATCTCGATCTTCTTGTTACAGCCGAAGCAGGAAACATATATGACGCGCTTTTTCTAGCGGCTCGAGCAGCTTTATGGGACACCAAGGTTCCAAGAACGAGAAGCGTGGAATACAAAAGCCCAAAAACTTTCTTGTCTGCCTCGGGCGACATGGACGTAGATCAAGACACTAGAAGCGGGTTTGACACGAGGCATGTGGCTCATGCAACAGACTTTGAACTACCTGACTACTGGGATGAAGGAGAGATATTGGAAGGTAGAGAGAGGTGGCCAGTTGCGGTCACGTTGAATCTGGTAAGTTTCCTCTTCCCCCGATCGAATGCATACTGAAGAATTTATCGTAGTTACACACAGCACACTTTCTAGATGCAACTTTACAAGAAGAAGCCTCTTGTGCTTCGCGATTACTGGTCGTTTATTCACACGAATCGCCAACTGCATATACAATTCAATCTATGCGAATGTTAGGCTCTGATGAATTGTCTATACCGCATTTGAAGAAACTGATCAAGGTCAGTGAGATCTTCCTGTTGAACATTTTTTTTGCTAATATTGATCGCAAGGAAGCCGAAGGCTACACGAGGTCCATGGCCACTTCGCTTACAACCAAGCTCGAAGATGAAGACTTTCGTCGCAATCAAAAAGCTCGAGAGAAATTTGGAAGGCGAAAATAAAGGTGTTAGCTTAACAACAGTACTTGTATTTCATTTGTTCTCGAGGCGTCTCGAACGTTCATTTGACTGCAACAATTTTCATGTGATGTACAAAGAATGTTCAAGGAACTGTGTACAGACTTAGGTCGAAGCCGCAAAAGGGAATCCAGGTCAAACACGCTGGAATCAAGACAGAAAGACTTCAGGGTTGACACGGAGAGAACTCTGAGTAACATGATATATTGGAATGGAAGACAGAAGTCAGTCGACAGTGACGAGCCGAACACTTGGAATGTTCAGATCCCAATCGAGTCTGGTGTCGAGGACGTCGATAACGATGCAATGCGGCACTCCTTACCATCTAACACAATGTACCGATTCTACGACTGTGATTCTCTAAAGGTTGGATGAACTTGAGTTGGGTTGGCAGGCAATCTTTTCCCATGACCCAAGACCATGAAACAGTCCGACTTGGTCATGGAAAGATGTTGCAAGTTTATCCGGGAAGTTGTTGACAGCAAGATGCAGTCACTGAAAATAATGAACATGGGAGAAGCTTGTTTGATACAGAAGCCCTGGGAGCAGAATGGAGGACTTCCTGCATCCAGCGGGAGCAGTCGAATCACTGTCGAATCAGGAACAACTTGAACTTCGCAGAATCATTCAAGTTTCCCCTTGCGACAAATTTTTCACATTTCCCGCCTCTCTCAAACAACTAATTGCACCAATGAAGCCCAAATTCCTCCTTCGTTGGCCAATCTGAACCAGAGTTTAGGAGCGTATTAACTTGTTATCTTTTTGCCTTTCATCATATCCTTAATTCAGGGAACGACCATCGAAGATATGACCAACGGGCCTGCAATTCCGTACCCGGTATGGATCCGGAACAAAGTTTTGATATGATATAAAACCTCTACAGTCAAAGCGTTTGTTAATAAACCGTTACTCGATAAGAGCTCGATGACCTGCAATGGTTGGTCTTTCTCTTCTGGTAACGAGAAGCAGCGAGAAGCTCAGAGTCATTTCCGCCAATCGGAGATACCATTCTCTCTTTCCGGTCAGTGTAGAGAATACTTTCGTTCATTTGTTATGGCTGCGTCTCTGGACTTACCCATTGAGTAAGAACGTAAGATTGGAGAGATATTTTCACCGGGAAAAATATGACTTTGGTTCGAGAAGCTTTCAAGGAGCAGAGTACTAATTTCTGTCGATTCTCGATACCATTGTGCCGTACTGTAAGTACAAACCAAGGATCTGAGAAACATGTCAATGTAGAGATGTTGGCAAGGAAACGTACTATGTATGCCAAAAACATAACATCAATACAGATCATGAAGTAAGATTTTGATCGTAGCCCTTCAACTTATAAGTAGGTTGGGTGCCCTGACGAAAGCCATACCCAATGGCTTCATCCTCCCACAATCTTTCTCGCGAAGCTGGTCTTCCTGGTTCCTTCCGCTGGCAGGATTTTACTTCCTCAGAAGATCCTGAGAATGTACAAGTACTTGAACAGGTATGAATGACTTCCATTCGCGAGTATATGAACTAAAACTAGGGAAATCTTTTCCCGGTAGGCTCAATCATCACGGTGGTCCCTCAGCACGGCCGGCACTCCCCTTGAAGGACTATTTCCTTCGAATCCCCGATCTGTTTCCCGCTCAAAGCTGGTCGCAGCGAGTACTTCCATGTCGGATCTGCGCGCAAAGTCATTATACGATGAATCAGGCCGCAAGAAGGCGCTCTTGAACAAGTTTCGGAGACACGCCGACCCTCTTATCATACCTTCGGCGAAAAAACCTCATCCTCTCACACTCACGGTCGGGATGTACGGTGAAAGGGTCGGTACAAAGTACATCGAAAGTTCGATATGTATCACCCCAGATAGCTCCAGCTCGACTACTAGTACTAGTCCCATTGAAACTAGCAAAAGTTGGAAGAGGCGGAAAAATTCCCTAGGGAAGATCGTCACTTATCCCACTAAAATTCTAGGAAAGATGTTGCCAAGGTATGTGAACACCTCAGAATCAAGATTCAAGCTCAGCCTTTGGCAGACGAGGAGATCACTCGAAGGAGAGTGGTGCACCTCCGCTTTTAGAATCATCGCCTACTAAGGAGCCACAACTGTCGTTGCGACGTGCAGAAACAGCGGTAAGGCGCCCTAAACGATCGTCCGAGCTCCAAAGGCCGGATGAACCTGTGAAACGCTGGTCAATGGCCTCCACACAGGCAATTAGAGCGGAGAGGTTCTCATTTGAACACAGAAGCCGTCAGAAGGATGCAAAAACACCTTCAGACGACAACGTCCAGATACTACGAGAAATAACACCCCCTCTTCCAGTGTTGGTGCGGTCTATGACCCAGCCCGGCTTGCAGAGACGAGGCAAGGCAATCCGAGCCGCGCCTAGCAACGCACCGAGACCGCCCTTTGAAAGGAGCAGGTCAGAGCGCCGCAATCCTCATTCAAGCCGTCCTACGTTCCCCAATTTACGAGAGGATCTTGCTAGCGAGTCGTTTTTATCATTCGCCGAAGAAAACAGCTCAGAGACAGTGGCAACTATTGCCGATCGGATCGTGGCGAAAGAACTCGACCAACGCCAGCATGATAGCTGGGATTTTTTGGATTACTATACTCAATCTGGCGTACTGAATGCATCTTCGCCAGTCGAATTCACTGCCTAGAGATGAAGGATGAATTCCATGACCCTCATTTGTCGATAAAGAGTGCCACAGCAATGCCGAAGCGGAGCATTATTAGCTTCTCTTCTTCCACATGCTCATAGTCTTCATATTTTCTTTTGATGCTGCCGAAATGTATCACTGATATAGGAAACTCAGGAAGCCTAGCATATAAGCACGCCGCTTTGTAAGTAAAGTAGGAAGAACGTTGAAGAACAACTCTCATGAATCTGGGTCTTGAATACGAAAGTTCAGTTCATGGCCAATTTCCGCAAAGTTTGTGCGGTCATAATTCCCGGTAGGAGTCCTCGGCTGGTTTCAATTTCTTGACTCATTCAATTACAATGGAGCATGAGGAAACCTGAAGCTGCCTGAAGATGATTTGGGACGGACGAAATTCTTCTGAGTGAGCGCTCAAGCGAAGATCATGATTTTATCGTTCCAATGGAAGCGGATCTTCTCAGCCTCCGATATTCTTGCTGAGAAGTTACTCATACTCTGAGTCACTTACAAAGCTCATGTTGGAGGCCCATCTCAAACGAGTGACATTCAAAAAAAACTTGAGAAGAGGCTGATGGCAGAATCGGAGGAGTACATACCGTATTGTAAACCAGGTTAACTTCTCCGGAATCCAAAGCCTGAAAATTGAGCCCTGGTGTAAGATGCGTGTTCGGTGACCAATCCATGGAGCGAAGATGCGTCATCGGTGACCAATCCATGGAGCGAAGAAATAGCACTGTGGATTAATGTAAATTTTCAAGCCGTTGATAATACCACCATCTATTACATACACTGGGCGGAAAAGCTCATAAATCACGTGACTTTTAGCAATATTACCATAAACTTATAATTTCCGAAAACTTTCAAAAGTTTACAATAAGTTTTGACTCTTACATTGAATTTACATAAGGGCATATTTTTTTTTTTGCATCCTATAAGATTGCTGTAAGTAGCAATACTTACAGTCAACTTTTTGAATATTTTTAGCAAAAGATATAGTAAATTTCCCATAAACATTTAGCTTAAAAAACTAACATCAAATTTACTATGAAATATATTGTAAGTTTGCAGACTGACAGGTAATGATATTTTCCCATTGGCTTTGCATAAGCTTGATAATTTCAGGTCGACTTTCTATGAACTTTCAATTAAAATTATAATAAATTTATGATTAAATTACAGAACTACTTGTAACACTATGTTGTAAGGAAAACCAAGGACTTTCAATGAACATTCAATATAGCTTGTCACTCAAAAGATTTGTTTAAAATTCACCATAAGTTTTCTGCAATATATAATCCATAATTCTGGTGACTTTGAGGAATATTACAGGGAACTTATCATTTCCAAAAACTTTCAAATGTTTACAATAAGTTTTGCCTCTTACATGGAACTTGCATAAGGATTTTTTCTCTTTTTTTGCATTCTATAAAATTGCTGTAAGTAGCATTGTTTACAGTCAACTTACTGAATGTTTTCAAACAAAGATAAAGTAAATTTCCGACTAAACACATAGCCAAAAAATTAACATCAAGTTTGGCATAAATATACTGTAAGTTTGCAGACTGACAAGTAATGATACCTGCCTATTGGCTTTACACAAGCTTGATAATTTCGAGTCAACTTTCTTTTGAATTTTAATTGAAATAATGATAAACTTATGGTTAAATGACAGGACTAATTGTGGCATTATGTTCTAAGAAAAATGAAGAACCTTTAATGAACTTACAAAACAACTTCTCACTTATGAGATTTGCTTGAAGTTCACCATAAGTCTGATAACTTCAGGTCAACTTTCCATGAAATTGCAATTTAAATAGTAATAAACTTATGCTGAAATTATAAGGCTACTTGTAACACTATGTTGGAAGGAAAATCATGGATTTTCAGAGAACTTTTGATGTGACTTGTGACTGGAAACATTTGTTTGAAGTTTATTATAAGTTTTCTGCAATATATAACCTACAATGTGGTTACTTTCAGGAATATTATGGGGGACTTATAATTTCCACAAACATTGAGAAGTTTACAATAAGTTTCAACTCTTACATGAAATTTACACAAGGGCATATTTTTTTTTCTGCATCTTATAAGATTGCTGTAAGTAGTATTACTTACAGGCAATTTTTTGGATATCCAGACAAAACACTAAGCAGAAAATCTCATCAATCACAGTGACTTTGAGTAATCTTATGATCCACTGATCTTTTTCTGAAATTTCTTTGTAAGTCAAATTACTTACAGATATTCTTTTGAAAATTTGTAAAAAAGATCCTAAATAAATTAACACAAACTTATGGGCAAAAAATTTAAGATCAAGTTTGCAATAAATATATTGTAAGTTTTCAGACATATATTTTTTTGTTGGCTTTTAATAAGATCTCTGAAAGCTTGATAAATTACATGCAACTTTCTATTAATATTGAATCAAAAGAATCAGAAACTTATAGCAAATTTATACAGAACACACCTGGAGAACACTTTTGGAGGATTCCTTGCTTGGAAAGTAAGAAAAGTCATAACTTTTGATCAATATATGATTATATTTCCAACTTATTGGATTTGAGAAAGATTTAGCATAATTTTTTTGCATTATACAAAATTTATAATGAAGGATTTCTATTTCCTGGGCAGGGTGTAATATTACTGTAAGTTTAATGCATTTGGATAAACTTATTGAATGAGTTTGTTGATAGACAATTAGAGACTTATAGGCAAATGGTATCTCCTAAATTCTTTGTAAGTTTATTAACTTTTAAGTAAAGAATTTGTACATAGTGTAAGTCTCCATAAGTTGGCACTACTTACTAAAAACTTATGCAAACCAAGGCAATGCATCCACTCCATCTGGTCTATCCAAGTGATCTGTTCCATTTGTTCACTCAATCCATTCCACCTGTTCTATCCAATCAGTCCATCTGTTCTATCCAATTGATCCATTCCATCCATTCTATGCATCCACTCCATCCATCTCATCTGTTCTATCCAATCAAGCCATCTGTTCCATCCATCCATCCATCCACTCCGTCCGGTTCATTTAATTAATCCATCCACTCCATCCGTTCCATCCAACCGATTCATTCCATCCATCCACTCCGTCCATTCCATCCATCCATCCAACCAATTCATTCCATCCATCCACTCCATCTATTCTATCTATCCACTCTGTCTGTTCCATCCAATTAATGCATGCACTATGTCCGTTCCATCCAATTAATCCATGCACTCCGTCCGTTCCATCCATTCCATCCATCCATCCACTCCGTCCGTTCCATCCAATTAATCCATGCACTCCATCTGTTCCATCCAATTAATCCATGCACTCTGTCCGTTCCATCCATTCCATCCATCCACTCTATCTGTTCAATCCAACCCAATTCCATCCATCCATCCATCCACTCCATCCGTTCCATCCAATTAATCCATGCACTCCGTCCGTTCCATCTAGTTAATCCATGCACTCCGTCCATTCCATCCATTCCATCCATCCACTCCATCTGTTCCATCCAACTGATTCATTCCATCCATCTACTCTGTCCATTCCATCCAATTAATCCATGCACTCCATCTGTTCCATCCAGTTAATCCATGCACTCCGTCCGTTCCATCCAATTAATCCATGCACTCCGTCCACTCCATCCATGCCATCCAATTGATCTGTTCCATGTATCCAATCGATCCATTCCATCCATTCTATGCATCCACTCCATCCATTCCATCCAATTGATCTGTTCCATGCATCCACTCCATCTATTCCATCTAATCCATCCACTCCATCCGTTTCATCTGTTCCATGCATCCACTCCATCTATTCTATCCAGTTGATTCACTCCATCCATTCCATTTTGTGATGGATCTAACACTAAATGCAGAGTAAGTCGTCGAGCTCATCACTCCGAGTCATCTCTGACCTGTGCAATTGATAGAATCTTCTATCAATTTCTCCACTGTTCTGTACAAGTATCTAACAAGTATAAATCTACATAGCATGTAAGGAATAATGACCTTTTTACGATTCTTTGAATATCATCTATATTGAGCTTTACTTCGTGTGAACGTAAGCTAATCCGAATATCAGCGCACTTGACGCCTCGTGCTCATCGTTGATTTCGACTTCCCGGCGTCCAACGCGCAAGCTTGACGACAAGGAAGGATATTCATTGTGTCTATCTTAAGGTATATAGTATTTCGTTGATTTGAATCGAGAGTCTTATTCAAATATTACTCAGAAGCATTACACATTTGTTCCATGCATCCAATCGATCCGTTCCATCCATTCTATGCATCCACTCTATCCATTCCATCCAATCCATTCTATGCATCCATTCGATCCATTCGATCTAGTTAATCCATGCAATCCGTCTGTTCCATCCATTCCTTCCATACACTCCATCTGTTCCATCCAACCGATTCCATCCATCCATCCATCCACTCCATCCATTCCATCCAATTAATCCATGCACTCCGTCCGTTCCATCTAGTTAATCCATCCATCCATCCACTCCGTCCGTTCCATCCAATTAATCCATGCACTCCATCTGTTCCATCCAGTTAATCCATGCACTCCGTCCGTTCGATCTAGTTAATCCATGCACTCCGTCCGTTCCATCCATTCCATCCATCCACTCTATCTGTTCAATCCAACCCGATTCCATCCATCCATCCATCCACTCCATCCATTCCATCCAATTAATCCATGCACTCCCTCCGTTCCATCTAGTTAATCCATGCACTCCGTCCATCCACTCCATCTGTTCCATCCAACCGATTCATTCCATCCACTCTGTCCGTTCCATCCATTCCGTTAATCTATGCACTCCGTCTGTTCCATCCATTCCATTAATCCATGCACTCCATCTGTTCCATCCAACCGATTCATTCCATCCATCCATCCAACCGATTCATTCCATCCATCCATCCACTCCGTCCATTCCATCCAATTAATCCATGCACTCCGTCCGTTCCATCTAGTTAATCTATGCACTCCGTCTGTTCCATCCATTCCATTAATCCACTCCATCCGTTCCATCCAATTAATCCATGCACTCCGTCCGTTCCATCTAGTTAATCCATACACTCCGTCCATTCCATCCATTCCATCCATCCACTCCATCTGTTCCATCCAACTGATTCATTCCATCCATCTACTCCGTCCGTTCCATCCAATTAATCCATGCACTCCATCTGTTCCATCCAGTTAATCCATGCACTCCGTCCACTCAATTCATTCCACATCTATTGTCTCTCTGATTGTCTATACGATCGAATATACACTTTTACTTCAAGTCTCAGCCATCCGAGTGAGTCTCCGAGCTCCCTCAAACATTACTAAAGCTCCCCAATGCCTAAACGCTTTGGTGAGCTACCCTTCCCCAAACCTCCCAGAGCTCCCTAGCTACTTCGTAAGCTTCGGACCTCAATCTAAGTAACGTTGAAGCTACCCCTCACGTTGAACTACGTATCGCTTCTCCGTTACCACCTCCCACACTCGAGGACGTCCATCCTCAAGCCCAGTCCCCAGGGACCTACCCTCCCAGGCATATACCTTCTTGGGAGCTTACACCCTCGAGACCCATTTACATCTATGACCTACTCAATCCTATATTGATGTTCTAGCGAGTACAACTCCTACTACGCAATACCATACGGTCCCGCACTCTTACCTAACCTCCCTACGCCTTAGGGACCTCCCTGGACCTCCTAGGAACCCCTCAAGGGTCACCATCTCGTCGTTCCAGCCACTACTAGGTCATTCCCGTCCTCGGTCACGGTTCCCATAGCTCCCTTCGAGCTCCAGCCTGCTCCTAGCACACTACAACATAAACCCTCATATACCAATCTCTACCATAAGACCCATTCCGACCCAGGTCTTACACATCCAATTGATCCACTTGATCCATTCTGTCTGTTTTATCCGTTCCATGCATCCAATCAATCCATTCCATCATTGTTCCACTTCACGTTGGCAGGCTTCTAATGTGTGCAAGGCATCTCGCAAAGCCAAAGTGAGAGAAGAGTTTTCCTGCTGCGACTCCACAAGCTGAGCCTCCAAAGCACAAACCCGCATGGACAGTTTTTCATTCTCAACGCTATAAGGGTGTATGGTGGAAGTACAAGGAATGAGAGGAGACCAAGAAGGAGGCATCTTGTCTTGCCTGATACCCTTCATACTACTCCAGGGACCACAATCTGTACCAGCCCGTTGTTCTGCGACAGCTGCCAAACAAACCAGGCCAGTAGGACCCTGCACTGAACCAGGTTGATTAGGCACGACAGGGACAGGAAGACTTCAACTTCCAGGATCCTTGGGGATGACATGATGATTTTGCCCCCTGTCAAGCGACACCGTACTGGCAGATGAAAGCGTCGACTGATCACTAATCTTCAGAGAGGGGTCTTCGCGTGCACAACGAGCTCCATTCCTAGACAGGGAGGGTGCATCTGTTCATCAATTGAGAGTGGAAGGCTGCTTCCCACATCATCGTACTTGTTACAATCACTTCTTTTTCATCTTATCTTTTTCCTATCTCTTGTCTTATCTTTTATCTTTTGTCTTATCTTCTATCTTCCTTATCCTATATCTTATCTTATCTTGTCACCTGACCTATTATTCATGCTTACTGATACAACATGCGCTTTTCATTTACTTATATTAAACACAGCAGTCTTACAACACATATATAGCATGACAATCGAGCTTTTATTACTTACACATTGCTTTACTTATGTTTTACTCATGTTTACCACTAACCCAGGGCGTTGGGCATTACTAGGGTAGAGGGTTGTTTACTCGTATATAGGCTGTAGTTACTTGCTGTATTTCCTTAGCTTTGATCTTGTCTATTCTACCTGGTTTAGTCCAGAACTTTGCTTGTCCTCTTTATCGCTCCGCCCTCTACGCTTTATCTGAAGTGTGATACCTGGTGATACCTGTCACTAGAACCAGTCGCTGACAGTACACTATTTTCGAAATCTCTCCCACATTATTCCCGACTTCTACAAATCCAATCATACATTTTCCCATCATCAATACCGAGTTGCATTAGTAACTCGTCTTCCTTACAACGGATTTTACTTCAAGACTAGGACGACCTAGACTTTCGGTACAAACCGATCATTACTGCACCCCTGACTCATCTGCTCCATCCACTTCATCCTCTATCGAACGAAATATCACCTCATTCATACCCGCCTACATACCACCCAACTTCAGCATGTCTAACCCTACTCCCGCTCCCACCACCACTACCTCCAATATTCATGGCAAGTCGTTGCTCAGAGAGCCTAGCATCTTTGATGGCGACAAAGCGCAGTTCAAAGAGTGGTGCCGTACCCTCTTTGCCTACATTTGTGATCCAAGGAATAGAATCATTACAAACAGTGAAAGAATTGATATTGCGGTCTCGTATATGCGAGGTCCCAAAGTCAGTAGCTGGGTCCAGAATTACATGGACGATAACTTCGACAATGATGAAGAGGAATGGGCTATCACATGGAAAGGATTCAAGGACGTGAGATACAAGTCCGAATGGTGATAGGAGATCATGCCGAACGAATAGATATGGCAGTTACCAATCTAGGCATAGACTGGCTATGTTACCATAATCCCAGCATTGATTGGAAGGAATCTACGTCAACGTTCGAACATTGTCCTGACATATGTGGGTATTTGCCACATCATGAATCACCTGAGGATGATGGTACAGAGGAAAAGCTTGTCGATGGTGAAAGGATCTTCTGGTTTGATCGGGATGGATATCTTTCTGACCAAGGCCATATCAAAGTACAAACTCCTACTACAGACGCCGCTGCTCCATACCTTGCTGAGTATGCTGATGTATTTAGTAAAAAGGACTTTGACCAAATGCCAGAAAGATGTCCATGGGATCATGCCATACTAACACCAGGTTCCAAGCCAGTTGATTGTAAAGTCTATCCCCTCAGTCCGCCAGAACAGAAGGCTTTAGATGAATTCCTAGGAGAAAACCTTAGATCGGGATGAATACGGCCATCATGTTCACCCATGGTGTCATGCCCTGTCCCTAAAAGCTCCCCTTGTTCATCCTCCTAGACATCCCAGGGATACTTACCAGTTCCTCCGTACCTCCTAGATAACCTCCCAGGAAACCCCCATGAATCACGGAACCCCAACCAACCTCGCGACCAATACTAACCTCCATCTGAAGCAACTGTCTCGAGACTCGCGTATGCCATCGGACAATCCCCCCTATCAATTTAGCCTCATGGATTCCGCACTTCACGCCATCCCCATTAGATGCTCATTTATTACAATGTCTCCTTACCTATTCATCCCACCTATATAAGTATCTTCGGTAACATAAATGGACCCAGCTTGGTATATTTTGAACACACACCCTTTTGCGTAGGTCCAGTCCCTGTCCCTTTGTACCTGCTAACCATACGGATTTCTCTTTACTCTTTGTTTCTCTCAACTCTTGTCTATTGTCTCTACGATCATCTATACGATCCAATACACGCTTTCACTTCATGTCTAAGCAATCCGAGTGAGTCCCCAAGCTCCCTCAAACAATACTAAAGCTCCCCAACGCCTAACGCCTTGGTGAGCTAACCTCCCCAAAACCTCCTTGAGCCCCCCAATTGCTTCACAAGCTCTGGGACCTCAATCTAAGTAACATCGAACTATGTGTCACTTCTCCATTACCACCTCCAACACTCGAGGACGTCACCTCTAACCCCCAGTTCCCGGGACCTCCCCTCCCGGGCGTATACCTTCTCAGGAGCTTATACACTCAAGACCTATTCTCTCTACGACATATTTGATCTTACGTTGACATTCTAGCGAGTACAACTCCTCCTATGCAACACTACTAGGTTCCGTACCTCTACCTCCTCTACTTACGCCTTAGGGACCTCCCTGGACCTTACAGGAACCCCTTCAAGGGTCACATCTCTCAGTCCCAGCCACTACTAGGTCATTCCCGTCCTCGATTGCAGTTTCCGTAGCTCCCTTCGAGCTCCAGCCTGCTCCTAGCACGCTACAACATAAACTCCTCATACCAAAACCTACCCTAAGACCTATTCTGACCCAGATCTTACACATGGCTTCACCTTTCTTCTTTGTCAAAAAGCAAGATGGAACACTACAGCCCATACAGGATTATCGAAAGCTAAATGACATGACTGTCAAGAATCAATATCTACTCCCGTTAATCCAGGAACTCATTGATAAACTCAAGAATTCCAAGGTCTTTACCAAAATGGATGTCCGATGGGGATTCAATAACATCTGGATCAAAGAAGGAGACAAATGGAAGGCAGTGTTCAGGACAAACAGAGGCTTGTTCGAACCTACAGTTATGTTCTTCGGACTTACAAACTCACCTGCCACGTTCCAAGTGTTTATGAATCACATCCTTCGAGAATTAATTGATCAAGGACACGTCATTGTCTACATGGATGATATCCTTATCTTCACAGACGACATTGAGGGACACCGAGTCATCGTCAGAAAGGTTCTTGATATCCTAAAAGCCAACAAGCTGTATTTGAAACCTGAAAAGTGTACCTTTAAGACTAGGGAGGTTGAATATCTTGGAATCATCGTAGGCAATGGACAAATCCGGATGGACCCGAAAAAGGTTGAAGCGGTCCAAACCTGGCAGCCACCAGAAGAAAAACATGAACTACAATCATTTTTAGGGTTTTGCAACTTCTTCCACCGGTTCATCTGAGACTTCAGTAAAATTGCCAAACCCCTAACACGGCTCACAGGGAATATGGCTTGGGAATGGACATCTCTTGAACAGGATGCATTTGATCGACTAAAA